TTATGACTTCATGAACGATAGCAATTGTTGTGTTCTCTGATGTTGACATTACTGTCTTTACATACAAAATAAAAAAAATAAATAAAAATAAAACTAACTTTATTTTTTCTGAAATAAACACTATTTCTTCACAACATTAAATTTTATCCTGTATGAAATGACTTTAAAAAGATTATTGACTGACTTCGAATACTATCTCATTGACGCACTGACAGACCCTCAAAACTGTGTTGAAAGTTCTTTAAGCTTTAAGATTGAAGGTACGACGCATTTTGTCTTCACTTACGTATTGAAAGAATATGACCGTTATCATAATGAAGTGAATCAAACACTAATAAAATTTGTAGATAAAAAATTGGTTAACAATGAATATTTTAAACGTGAAGACCCAAACACTGCTGGAGATGATGAAGAATACAGACAAGTTATTGAAAAAAATAACGCAAGATTAGATGTAATAGAAAAGAAGTTTAATGAATGTCTTACAAACACGTATGAATATCTTATGCGGTGGGAAGCTAGATGGAAATAAATTTACGTCAAATATGCAATTTATAAAATCTTATGTCGACAGGCTACGTAGTACAGTGGTCTAAGGTGGTGTTATGGAGGGGTCAAGGTCTGTGGTTCGAACCGCGACAGCGCCGTATTTTCTTATTTTCTTTGTTTGTCGTGAATAAAAAGTGTCATAAAAGTGCTCTATCTTCCACGGGAATAAATAAAAATTTACTTTATTTCTTCTTTATTTCTTTGTTCCCGTGGAAGAAGGGTTTTGCTGTTTTTTCTCAGTCGAAATCAATGATTTTTTTCATTTTTGGAATCCTTAGCGAATGAGGAATCTTTTCTCTCGTGGAAGCTTTGAACAAAATGAACGAGGTCAGGATGTATGTAAATACCTTTGAATTCATTTATAACGCCCTTAGTAAGCTCATAAAATGCTTGTTTTGAGGTCGAGCCACTTTTGGCTCCACCGTATTCTTTCATACAAAACTCAAGAATTTCCTGCATGAATTTTCATGAATTTTATATATTAATGTTTTCGTACCTGTTGTCTAAATGTCATGTTGTCATCATTTTTTAAAGAAGTTAATTAACCTGGTGACACATGGTGACCTGGTGACATTAACGATAAAATATATTTTTGGTCGTTAATGACAAAAATAAATGGTTCATTTACTCACAATATTTTTGTACAAAACGACCCCAAACTTTTAACTTCTTTTCTGCAGCTTCTAATGCTATCTTAGCGAGTTCATATTCTCTAAATTCTCTCTTTAAATCTTCTTGTTCCCATTGGTCTAGTTCGTATGGAGAATCTCTATAAACATAACATATCTCACGCTCATGTTCTAATTGTTTTTCATGCATTTTTCTAACTTCTTGTTCGAACAAAGGTTTAGCATTTTCAACTGTATCTTCGAGTTCTTCTTCATTTAATTTCACATGAACTTTCTTGTCTATGGAGTCCATAATTTTTTCAACTGCTATGCAATATTTTGGAGAAGCCCACATTGCTATATAGTTTATAAGTCTTGGGTCTACATACGTTCCTCTAACCTGTTTGATTTCATCAGGAATTCCTGCATGAATTTTGTATAAAAAGCAACCGCCGGAATTCAGACGGTTGCTATATTCTTCACAAAATGCCTTATAATACTCTTCCCAGGACTTATTTTCCAACAACTTTCTAAAGTCTTTCCTAAACTGCTGACACATATTTGTTGCATTAATGTAACCATCCTTGTCTCTACGTAAGACTTCAATACCATTATAAGTGCCTTTTGTGAATGTTTCGCCATTAGATTTGTTCGTGAATGTTTTTGCTTCGACTGACATTTCTGTTCTTACATACAAATAAAAAAATAAAAATAATTTTAAAACTAACTTTATTTTTTCTATCTTAAGGAAAATTCAATGAGGTGAAAAAACAGGTGAGAAAACAGGTGAAATCTCACCTCTTCACCTAAAATATATTTTTGTCTGATTTACATCTAATGAAAAAGTTTAGAAGAATTTTCTTATTCTTTCTGGCTTATTTTTGTCTTTCCAATACTCCCGCTCTAATGGTCCCAGATGTGTTGGCTTTGACTCTCTCAAGTTCTTAGATGGTATAACATCTTCAACGCCTCCTTCATATCTTACTTTATAAGTGTCATCGTTTATGTTGTAGCCAAGTATTTCAATAACCACTCCTCGCTTTGCTTCGTCAATGGTTTCAGCAAGTTTGCCATTACTACTTTCAACTAATTTCTGACGAGGGTAAAACGCAATAGAGTCGTCAGCAGCTTTTATAAGATATCCATTACCTTGCGTAGAGTCTACGATATAATAGTTTCTACTTAACCTTAAACGTTTCTTTGTCAACGGTTTGTCGTCAAGAACTACACGAACTTTTGTACCAGGAATGAGGGTAAATTGTGTTGAATTTCTGATATTTTGTGTTTGGCTTCGTTTCTTTTGTATATACTTTTCTTCTTCTTGTTGTGTCATTGAATTTGGTGTATGTCCTGTTGTAAAATGTGTTGAGGAATTATATACTTCGAGAAAATGTTTCATTGTTTCTTCAGTAAAGTCTCGCTCTTGGTTTAAATCTCTGAGCGTTCTTATGAAGCGGTTTATGATGCCGAGTATGTTATGGTTATGGTCTTCAGTAGTGTAGTGAGTTATGTTATGCTTAATGAGAAAATCTGTGATTTCATTGCTGAGGTATGCACTGTCTTGGTCTGATGTTAAAGTACTTGGGCTATGTTCTGCTACAAACTTTTGTAAAACTCTTAACACTTCACGAGTTCCTTTATTCCTCATTGGATATGCATATGCTTTGCGAGTGTTAACATTAATGAAGATGAGGAATGGGTTATGTCCTCCTTTTCTGCTTTGAATGAGAGTGTCAAATTGGTATGCGTCAGGAGTGTTGGAGTAAATTGGTAAAAAGTAGTCGTAAGGGTTTATTTTTGTTTGATGTACAACATTTTTGTCAAAGAACCTTTTCACTTCAGCTCTGTTAGTAAATCCCCAACTCTTTGCAGCTTCATTGAACTTCTTAAATGACCTCCATGGATGTTGTTCGAATACTTCTTTCAAGCTCATTTATGTAAAGTTAAAGATTTTATTCTAGGCTCAAGCGCGTTCATTGAACTCTATACCATGCGAATACAGTCACAAATGGTGGCATATAATCTGCACCCGAGCCTGTTGGATTTGTTGTGAAAGTATGTGAATGATTTCCTCCTGGTTCAGTTGGTCGAAAAGTCTTTTTTGCTGCATTGTTATAAGATGGAGATAAAACGTCATTGCCAGCTTCATACTCTGAGTTGTATAATGGGTGGTCTCTTAATGAGTGGCTATGGTCGCCAGAAAAGTTTGTAGTTCCTGTATGAGTGTGCGGTGGAAGGTTTGCTTCAGTAATTTTCTTCGAACCTCCTGTTTGCTTTGAATATCTAGCACAGTATAAGAATTTATCTACAATCTGTTCCCACGTACCGAAACCCAGAACTGTTGCTGGATTTGTTGAGTTCATTGACGTATAAATAGAACCTATAGGATATAATGTTTGAAGTATTTCTGTCTTTAATGTTTGAAGCTCTGTTTTGTCTGCTTTCTTATCTAACATTGCTGGTAGTTCATATGCTTCAAAGTTTCTGGCATGATCTTCAATATTCCTGCAACTCTTATCTAAATTGTTAAGAGTATCTTTTACGCTTGTACTTGGATTTTCTAATGGTGCACTTGAACCAAGGTCAAAGTTCAATATTATGTCGTCTGCTCTAACAGTAGTGAAGGATTTATGTGTATGGTTCTTGTCAGCTTTCTTATCTAACATTGCTGGTAGTTCATATGCTTCAAAGTTTCTGGCATGATCTTCAATATTCCTGCAACTCTTATCTAAATTGTTAAGAGTATCTTTTACGCTTGTACTTGGATTTTAATGGTGCACTTGAACCAAGGTCAAGTTCAATATTATGTCGTCTGCTCTAACAGTAGTGAAGGATTCATGTGTATGGTTCTTGTAGGCTTTACTGTCTAATGTAGCTTGAAGTTCATTTATATCGGAGATGTTGTGTTTATGAGATTTCAAAACTTTGTTCATTGCTTCGAGTTCAACTTTGTCAGCTTTACTTTTAATAGCATCTTCAAACGTTATTTTTGCTTAACTCTCAAAGTAAATCTTGGTTCAACTAATACACCGTTAACATTGAAAGTAGAGGCATAAATTTCACCGGTATAACCAAATGCTTCTGGTGCTTTAGCTACATCATACTGTACAGTACAGCTTATGTCATAACCTTTAGCACGAATGTATTTATATCTTCTTTCATTAACATTTTTTGTCTTCGCTTCATCACTTCGTGTTAAATATCCATGGTAGTCCGTTATAATCTGTTCGTCTGAAGTTATATAATGAACGTGGTTCTTGACTTTATCACTCAGAGCTAAAAGCTCATTTTTGTCTGCTTTTTCGGCTAATTTCTCATTAACATCATTCACTTCTAATTCAACTCTTCCGCCAGAACTCTTATTATCATTAATCTTTTTCATTAATTCGTAATTACGTCATAAAGACTATATTCTGTTTTCGGTTTTGTAAATAATGAGTCAAAATTTCTTTTCATCATTACATCGCTGACATTAATGATATCAGCTATATTTTTCATTTATTCTCTTCATTAGTTCTGCAATAATGACGAATATATAATCTGTTAATTTATTCTCTTCATCGAGGGTTATAGAATGTTTTGAAATTGAATCATTAACTCCTCTAAATAAATCAATAACTTCAGGATACACGTTTTTAATGTCTCGAATAACCCGACCAGTATCCTGTTGTTCATGTTCTTCGTTCCCGTCGTTACGTGGTTTTATATCTCTAACCATCATCAACGCAGCCATAACCGGAGGGTTTGTTGCTATCTGTTCGAAAATCCGTCCGTTATGTACGGTATATCTAAATAATTTCTTTGTGTTTGTTAAAACATTTGAAACAAGTCTTTTAAAACCATCTACAAAATTTCCTGTTTCACCTAATGTTCTTGCAGCATTTACAAGCTCACCCATGCCCGCTTTTGACCCCAAAAACGTCCATATTGCATTTATTTCACTCTGTATAGTTGTCCATTCAGCAAAATTAATTCCTGCATTCGCTAAGCTGAAAATGAAATTCAGTGGATCGAACTTAATTCCACCTTCTTTTTCAATTTCAACGAACTCACTAACATGAGATTTTAAATATTCTTTCGTTAAAATTGTTTTCCCTGATGTTATGTCATTAACGAAACTATCACCGTCAAAAGTTAACGAATTCAATTTCGTCGTTGATGCTTTTATTTCATACACCGCTTTATCGATAGTTTTTGGCTCACCTTCTTTAGAAGCATATGAAACATTAATGAATGAATTATATGTATTCGTGAATGAGTTAAAATCAATGATTTTCATTAATGACGCCTTTAATGATTCATTTACTGTCGAATCCCTTAAAGCAATTAATGAACTGTCATTTATGAAAGGTACACTGCAAACCGTCGAGTTTGGATCAAATCCTGTAGTTGGTGCAGGAATATTAATGATATAAGTCATTAAATCATTAAGTGACGTAAATAATGTTGTCGTTTTTGATTTAATTTCTTTAGCATCTGTTATATATGGTAATTTTATTTCTGTAGTTTCTGAATTAAAGATATTCGCTAAAATGTTTTGTAAACTGTTTTGAACAGCTGTGTAAACCGTTGAATCCGGAACTCTTACGATTTCACCGTCCTTAATAAAAGGCATTGCACATGGTGTAGTGCTTGGGTCAAATCTTTTTGGGTTATGATTCAACATATATTCTAATGCTTCATAAACAGACCTATATACGGTTGTATTATCTTTTTCAATAATTTCACCGTCCTTTATAAATGGCATAGTACATGGAGTTAAAATAGGGTCAAACTTTTCATAGTCCTTCCATGTTATGTATTTCTCAGTATTTCCATCAGTGATAACAATATATTTGTCAGTAAGTGTGAGAGAGTATTGACCAAAATATAAACGTTTAGCTCTGTCAGCTTCATACGCATATGCAGCTATACTCATATTTTAATGAGAATAAAATGTTGTTCTATTTGCAAAGTACAGACCCAAACGAATACGGGACAGTAAAGCTACAAACAAACTTAGGTCTACAGAATGAGGCGCTTGCATTCAGAATGGTTGACTTCAATACTATCGCTTCATTCGTTATAACAGATGAAACAGATTTCATGGAGCTTGAAATAGATGGAAAGAAGCACGAAATAAGATTTCACAATAATGTAGAATATAAGATGGAAACATTAGCTGGAGTGTTAAATGCTCTCATAAATACTACAATAAACAAGGATAACGGAGAAAACTTAATGAATGTTAAACTTATTGCAGGAGTTTTGAAGTTCAGTTATGCGAAAGAGTTTAAGATACCAAGAATGAGTCATAGAGTACAACTTCTTTTGGGAGCATACCATATGACATTTCCTTTGAAAAGTGTTGACAAAACGATTGAGATGAAATCTGTTCCATACGTATGTTATGGTAATTGTTTGTACATTGAGTCTAAAATAGCTAATGTCACAGGCATTTCAGGAGTTAATAGTAAAGGTTCAGTAGAATATAAATCCTTCTGTTATGCAGTCAATTCAATGTTCATTCCAAACGTTCCTGTCATAGCAACTCATTTAGGTAAATGGGTTCGCATTAGTCCTCATAATTTGAAAGACATGCAATTCAGACTTGTTGACTTTCAAGGAGAGCCTGTAGAACTGAAGGCACCAGTGCGAATGACTGTTGAAGTTGACTTTTTAGAAAATATTAAATGCAACAGCTTACAAGAGAACTCAGAGCTAAAAATATAAAGTATGAATGTTATGTATTAGGTCATGAACTTTGGTTGTTGCTGTTTGATGAAACAAATGAATTAGTTATGTCAGTCAAGAGAACAGAAAAATATTGTGTTAGTGAAAACTGCACCAAGTCAATAAGATTAGGTTTGCATTATGAAGATGAGTTCGATACTGTTGAAGAAGTTTTGGATAGATATTACAAATTGCTTTAATTTACTAAAACATATTTCAAACAAAGCTTATAGTAAGTAGATAGTTTTGTATACTCGTTCGAATATTTATACTTAAACTCAACTCCTGGAGTTCCTGGTGTTTCAATGATGCGGATGTTACCTATTTTCATGAATATTGGAGTTTGACCACAGCATTCGATTTCAGGGTCGAGATAGTCAATGACACATTGCTTTCCTGTTATTCGTGATATAATTTTCAAGGTCCTCCTTTGTTAGAATTATTTGGTTCTTACTTATAAGATTTGTCAAAAGCTTCTTATCGTCTTTGAGTAAAATTGTTTGGTATAACTGAAGAAGGTAATGGTCTACGTTATCTGAAGGATTTGTTTGAACATTTGTGTAAGGGTTGTCGTTGGCTTCTCTTGAAAGAATTTGGTCCAGTGGTGGATACTCTAACTTAACATCTGATGTAGCGTTAGCGTTTGAAGCTGTGTTTAAATTCACCGACTTAAGATCTGGTTCTTTTTCTTTCAAACACTCCGAACTATAGTTCTTTATGACAATATTGTTTGTCGTTCGTGAGTCAACATTTGATGTTGGTTCAATTGGAACATTAACGGCACCAGCTAAGATGGATTTGCTTCTCATTTCATATAGAATAAAAACCTTTTATATGTATGAAATGAACAATATACTCGACAAGGGTTTGAATGTAAAGCTAACGAATGAAAATATTGTTGAATTCACTGAGACAGGAGCTGTGTATAAAGATGTAGAACTACTGAACAAAAGAGCAAGGGAAGAAGCAGGAACATGAACAAAGGGTGGAAGCCTATAAAAATTTATGTCAATGATGGCTCAGGAGGTTCAAACATAAAGTATGCAGAAAGTTATAGAGTTTATGCTCTCAAAGGTGAAAAGCCTTCATTTAAGAACAGCTATTCTAACGCATATCCTCAAAAGTTAACGGATGGGGAAGTGGATGATATGAATGACAGCAAAAATATTAACAGAAATGGCGACAGAGATGCATGGAATTTGTTTACCATCAGTCAATTAAAGCATAAGATTTAAAACAATGTTGGTCGTTCCCATGGAATATTTTTGACTTTAATGGTATTAGTCATGATATGAATCTCAAGGTATGAACGAGGAGAGATGAGAGACTTATATGCTTCCCAAATTTCTTCAAAAGGTAATGTTATACCTGACTGTTTCCAAATGAGTTCAATATCATAGCGTGAGAAACCTTGAAAGATAACGAAGTCAGTTATGAGACGTTTTATGTTTAAAGCTAAAAACCTCCATGTTTGCATAAGTATTGCTACAGTTAAATGGTAATGTCTGACTTTAGTTATGATGTTAGCTAATGGTGAGTCAGGCTTTGACACTAAACCTTTACCAGCGAAGTCGTCACAAACTAATAAAGTGTTTGAAGGATATTTTTTGAAGGGGTATTTTGAAAGTTTTGACAGAATGTAGTTTGTAAGTCGTTTCATATCGTAAACTCCTGAGTACTGACGTAAGTGGTGTTTGTCAATAATTCTTTCCATCTCCTCAGAAGTCTTTTGCATTCCTGACTGTATAAATTCAACGATGGCATAATATTTCCTCTTACGTCGAATGTAACGTTGAAGAAATTCAATGAGTTCACTGTCTGGAACTTTAACGACAGAGGCTTGAACTTTTGACATAAATGTTTTCGCTGTTGAGTCCATAGAGTCTGAAGTTGCTGATATAATGATTTGGTCATAGTAAGAGTCATTTCCTAAACGCTCTGTTATGAGTATATGACGAATGAGGTTAAATGTCTTACCTGAACCCATCTTTCCACAATAGAAATACACACCATTTGAACAGAACTCATAGTCCTTGCTGAAAGGAAGAATGAGAGAAGAGTTAAGTTTGTCTGTAGTTTCATTCATGTCTTCATCTACGTCATGTATTAAATGCTTCATTTTATCTCCATTAAAAATGCAAGTCAGAAATATTCAGAACATAGCACCGAGTCTAACTGACAAGAAGATATATATATGATTATGATGAAACCCCAAAATTCAAGAAAGTCAGTATACTTATGAATATCCAAGACACTGGGTAGAGTATGTAGGAGGTGAGAAAGCTATTGAAATCAGACAGGTTCGAAGTATTCCAGCAGGAAGAACAATATTATTGAAGAACTTTAATGTTTTGAGATATAATGATGAAACAAAGAAGCAAGATAGTTTTCCCTGTTGCTGTGTATGTGAACTTAGATACAGGAGATGACATGAAAGTTTTTAATACAAAGCTTCAAACGGTAGTGAGAGAACAACTGACTGCGGAAGGACATCCATTACCTTCAGAAGTTACCATAGCATATAATTTTGAAACAAACTCAATAGATTTTAAAGTCATCTCTGCAAAGAAGTCAGGTTTTACATTTAATGAAGCAGATGTATATTCGAATGAAAACTTCAAAGCTATTGCATGGTTAGATAATGACGATTGCTTTAAGAAAATATTTAAATACAGTGACTCAACGATGTCAATAGATGACCTTCGTGGAATGTTACCATCGACGTTTACAGTAGAAGGTTCAGCAGGATTGCTTACAAGATTGTCAATTGGTGGTATTTGGTCTCGTGAGAACATTGTTATAAAATCCAGTATAAGTGAATTTGCTGAAGAATCTATATTATGTCTTTCAAACTACATGTATTCGCCGCCGAAGCATTATAGTATAACAAACTTTGTCAGTAAGTTTAACATAAGACTTGTCGAACCTTCTTCAATGAAAGATGTTGTGCTACCTAAAGATGGAAAGGATGGACTCATTATTGAGATGATTTTAATAGCATATTAAATGAGCTTGTTCTTGAAGGTCATTCATGATGAAATAACTGTTGTAGAAGATGTTAGCAATTGTTCAGACATTTTGAAGCGTATAGATGAGATAAGAAAGAAGTTAGATAGACCGCAAAGCGGTGAGGGCGAAGCCCGTGAGAACGTTATGTTTCATTGACTTTCTCCAGTAACGAGAACTTTTATGAGATAATATTGAAGAGAGATGATTTTAATATGGGTAAATGGTAGCTTGGGCAGCTTTAGGCGCAATGGGAACAAAAGCATTAGCATTTGGAGCAAAAGCACTTGGAGCTTATGACGCAGTAAATAAAATGAGTGGAGGAAGGGTTTCAAAGACATTAGATGCAAATAAAGGAAGATTGGAGGCTGGGTTGCAAAGAAGTTAAGATTAAATAAAATCGGGCTCATAAATAAAGCATCCAATTTGGTTGCGACTGAGTCAGAAAATGCTTTAGGAAAGGACGATGAGTTTGCAAAACACGTAAAAGACTTTAATGACCAGATGAAAGGTGAAACAATGCATTTAAATAGAGTCGATGGAACTAAAGAAAATGTTTCTTCTCCACCAGTAGTTCTTCCGTATGGTCCCTATGGAATGTATGGAAACCCTTACGAAAGACCATTTGACCCATTGACTGGTGGAAGTAACTGGTATCATTACGGCCGAAGAAGAAAGACAGTCAAGTTGGAGACAGACGTGAAGAAAGCAACTAAAAAGAAACCAAGGAAGAGAGTTATAAAGCAATGAATTCAACAGGGTGAAAAAAACAGGTGAAAAAAGAGGTGAGATCTCACCACTTCACCTAAATTTATTTTTGTGCTATGTTTTCATACGTGTGAGGGTGGTGATATCATTATTTTTTATTTTATTTTTAAGTTTATTTTTTATTTTATTTTTATATAAATGACGAAAACTATTGAGATAACAAACTACAACGGTCATGAGTTCAAGAATTTGTTCTTCGTTCCTCGTGAAAATACATTCTATCAGATACGAGGGAGAAAGGGTAAAGTTAGTTTGAGCGTTTATGACTACAAGCATAATGGAAAGTTTATACAAGCATACGATACAAACGGTAAACGTGTTTCATTAGCTTTGTCAAAACTTACAGGTATAAACTATGACAGTGATTTTGACCTATATGAAGAAGAAAGTGAGTCAGAAGATTATGAGCTGTTATATGAAGCACAGCAATGGGAGGAGTTGCAATACTTTTGTAAGTGAGAACGTTTATTTTTTACATTAGTGAGTTCGTTAGTGAAGTGGTTGGTGGCTTTGTAAATATTTAAGGTTAAGTTAGTGTTGTCGTTTGTGTTGTAAAATATACGTTAACGGTTTCGTAAAGTGTCAAATTCACATATAATGGGTAAGGTGGAACGCAGTGCCTCCGTACCCTTGATATGTATACTAACTAGTATTTCCTTTTTCAACTTGATTTGAAATATATGATTTCCAACAATCAAGGCAAAATTTATGTCCATATTGAAGACTATATAAAACAGTTTGTACATTCACCAATACCACGTTTCCGAAGGCCAAGATTTTCGCTGGCTTGTCTTTTGGTTGCCGATATTTTGGCCAAAAGATTTGTTGGATTGGTAAGATAACTATTAATTGCCTTTGTTTCATCCCAATTATTGAATTTCAGGATGTAGTATGCTACATTTTCACTGACAGCGAGAATGTTAGAAACCTTACTAACTTTGGAATCTTGTTCTTTGATGAAGTAATTGAGATCTAAGCAAGGAGGTAAATCATGAATCTCTGTCTTCTTTGTACTGAAATCAATCTCTACTGAGTCATCAGATTCCTCCTCTTCTTCTTCTTCAATGAATTCATCTTGATTGTCAAAAATTAAAGCCATAAGTTGTTCACCATTTTTATCATATTTCTTAAACGAAACAACTTCCTTCATTATTTCAAAGTCCGACTTGCATAAGTAATCAACGAGAAAATCAAATTGTTCATGATCAATTTCCCCAGTTTCTGCAAGTTGTTCTGAACAGTTTTGAACCCATTCTGTTAAGTCTGGCTTAGAATAAAGCAATTCCTTGAGCCTTGAAGCTAAATCAACTTCACGCATGAATTGGAAATCATTCATTATTATTTTTGAAATAAAAAAAAATTTTCACAATTGTCTGATGATTATATTGTATTTTATAAATGTGTGAAATTAAACTTAATATCATAGTTCCGCTCATTTTTATAGTTAAAAATGTTGTAATTTCAAATGTTCAATACGATAAAAATTCTTACAAATATTACAGAAAAATTTCAATAACTATACAAAATTTGAAATAGCAAAAGCAATGATAGAAAAAATATTCAAGGGATTTCTCTTTACCACGAACAATTTGATTTACTGACAATATTACTAAGCAATTTTGAAGACAATGCAACATATTTGGACGAAAAAATAACAAATTTTCAGCTTATATCGGCGCGCGGCTTCGCCGCGCGCCGATAGATGCGCTATATATATAAGACTAAAAATATTTTTTCGTCGTCTTTAATTAAATCAAATTAGCTATCTAAATTTCATATTTTCGTGACTTACTTTTGACCATTTTCGGTTGCAATTTTTAATCGTTTTTAAACTAATAGCATTTATCAATTTGAGTTATATTATATTGCGGATTGATCCATTTAAATCGCCGAAAATTCAATGATCAAATAATTTCAGAAATAAATCATGCTCAAAATTCGATTTTAAGCAGTTAAATTTATTCCTTATTAGCAATATATATAATCATCTCATAAATCACAACGAAATGCTGGACTGCTTGTTGAATTTGTAAGCTAAATGGGATTTTCATTTAGAATATGATTATTAAAAGTTCTAGGTAAATCATTTTGAATTCCTTTTATGAGCTTATATTTGATTATAAAGGTAAATATTCAGAGAGAATGTCAATTAACTTAATATTTTTCTGTTCACCTAAAGAGAAAATTTAAAATTTCTTCGTAATAATTATTTCATGGAATATTGGAATTCATTATTGATAAATTATTTCCAAAATAATTTTATTCAAACAAAAAGTAGATTAATGAGGAATTACTACAAACAAATAAACAAATATGATTTATATAATATGAAGAGACTGAATATAGTCCGTCCATGATTTAAATGTGCCAGCTTCAGCAACAACATATGAAGAATCAGAAGAAACGTTAGGCAAATTATATCCTTTGTGAGTCATTCCATTCCACACTATAACTAAGCAATTCGGTTCATTTTCTGTGTCAAAATATGCAAAATTTTCTGAAACTTTTTTTATTTCATCCGGTAGATAACCGAAATATAGCCATGGCTTATCGTTAACTGCAACCTCCAAAAGTGAGTGAATTTTAATCATAATTGTTGGCTCTGGCCCAAAAGCTAAATAAAACTTGTAGAAATCTAAGAATGTTATCAATGGTGCATTTGTAGGAGCTAAAATACTTTTAATAACTGATAATGAATTTTCGAAACTTTGACCGTGCAAATTGTATCTTTTGGCTAGTTTGAGTATGAAGAACTCTGATCTAACTGAATCTATGCCTATTACTTCAACTATTTGCTGCCATATGTTAATTGCATTTGATAAAATTTCGTTTTTGTTGGTTTGATCTAAAGCGCCGATAGTTATAGAGTCGGCCTTCCGTATCGATTCGACGATAGTAAGAGATGGAGAATAAATTGGCTCTTGTTGCTGCTGAAATCTTGCAATGTTTTCATTTTCAGTTTCATCAGGTACAATTGATGCATCTCTTCTATTAAATCCTTTTCGCGTCCATGTTGTCCATCCAGCTTTGTCTGTTTCTGTTTGTGTAAATTGTAATTTCTTTAAGTTTACGTTTAATGAATTTATTTTAACATCTAGTAATTGACACAGTGTTTTCTTATGCATTTTGAATTCATCATCACTAATCCATGCAAGACCAACCGAATTTTCTTTATCTGGTTTTGTATCTACGTATGAAAGAAGGACATGCAGCTTCCTGACGAATCTAGCATTTGGACTTTTTGTACTTCTTGCTTTTAAAATCTCTTGAATATAATTTGGTAATGTTTCAATGCTCATTTGATTTTTTTTTATTTCGAAAATTTGGCGCCATTTCAAGACCAGAACAGAAGTGCCGCCACGCCCAAACTTTGATATCATTGTCTCAGACTTCTCTACGAAAATCTAGTCCTATAGGTGACAGTAAAAGTCTACCAAATGATCGCCTTGTTTGCTTCACCCCAAAATAATATTTGCGATTTCAACGACAAAAGAAAAAATATCAAATATGACGAATGAAGAAGCACTACTAGCATAACCTAATTATTGATAACAGTTTGAATTTCCTATTTATTCAAAATTGGTAAAATTACGATCTAAAATAAGATCAATTAAGCGTTATAGTATACTTGAATTATGATAATTATGTTTCACATCCATAGTAGATTACCATCACTGACTATTTTTTTTGATAGGATCAAAATTTTCAAATAATGAAAAATGAATATTTATATTCTAACTTATATATCATGCTGATTTGCTTTTTATGCAATCAAAAGACTCATATCTCTTATAGCCTACTCATTTAATAAAAATAAATTTTGAAATTTTATGTTTCTATAATTTACTGCTTCGATATAGCTCAGTAATGAACACTATTGATACAGCTATTGAATCTTTCATATTTTGCAATTATTAAGCGAATATAGCATGAATCAAGCTTAGTAAAGATCATGCAATCTGAATTCGAATATTAGCATCTATATTACGATGGTTAATGTGAAAGATAACCGTATCATTTTTTAAATTATCTTTGAAAACTATGGAAAACTCTCGCATTATAGTATTTATTGCATGTATGAAGTTGATTGTCTAATTGTCAATATAATAGTCATAATGATTAGATAAAAATATTGGAAATCTTTTGCAATGTGCATTTTTGTAGTAAAAATATTGTTTTTACAAAATGTTATTCATGTATTCTTACTTACAAACTCAAAACGCAGGATGATTATATAGAAAAATAAAAATTTGTTAATAATCAAACAATATATTGATAGTGGTGCTTCAAAGAAATTCAATGAATTCTAACGTGTCCATATTGAATTATTTCGACTTCTCTTTATGAAATTCGTTTATAACATATTATCAGGATGCTGAAAAAGTGAAGTGTCAAATATTTAAGGTTCTTTTTGAGAACAACCGCTAAATAAAAAATCCAAATAAACGACACATTTGGCATCTATGATATATAACAAAACTATTTTCCCATATATTTTGAGCAAAAAAAAACTCAAAATTGAGAGTGGCAGCACTTCTACCAGAACAATTTTTATCAATTTTGACAAATTTATGACCGATTTTCATGGAACAGTTACTTTGCAAGTGAATTTGTAGGAGAACAAACTAATCATTGCCAAAATTGTAATCTACCAGCAGGTCAAGGTCAATATTACTTAGATGAGTGCAATTTTTTTGATGATAATAACCGAGTTATCAATTTTGATCCAATTAAAAACTCACTATTCCTTCATAATCGGTGTTCTTTTAGTAACTGTACTTCAGCTGAAAAAGGAAGTTGCGTTTACTATAAAATTGGAAGTGATAGTTCTATTGTTCAACGAAAATTCTGTTGTACAAAATGCCAAAGCCAAGGTGAAGGCCAATTTTCATATACATATATTGACAAAGATAACTTAAACTTTTTTATTGAAAGTTCCCTTTTCGATGTAGGAAAAGAAAGTGTTGATTGTTCTATTTACGCCGAACGTGATAATATCGTAGTTTCATCAACAAATTTCTCATCATGTAAAGCTAGTTACTGTCCTGCTGGTTGGTTTAAAAGTCCTTTAGGTAAATACACAACAAAATATAACTATTCAACTATTGTTAATAATTTAGCAACAAATAGTATGATTCTAGATTTTTGGTATAACGTTTTGATTGATTCATGTAATATTATAAATAATACCATAACAAAATCATATTATGGAATTATTTTCCATTATAAAAATTCTCTTACTGTAAAAAGTTGTTCTTTTATTAACAACACTGTTCCTCAAGGTTCATATTTGATATATAACTATTATGATGAACAAACAACAGTTGATAGTTGTTACATTGACAATTCGATTCCAAATACATATAATAGTAGTATAGTACCTACTAATACAAGAGAACCATTTACTAACAATTTGATTCATCTTTCAACTGGTAATTGCCAAGCAGAATTTGCAATTATCAATAAAAGTATTTCTTATGTTAATAAACTTTCTCTTTTTTTATAAACTTTACTAAACATTTCTAACTCTTCATAATAATAATACACCCCAGCTACAGCAATTCTGAATCTGTTCATTTCCAGTTCTTGACTCATTTAAATGGGAAATCATATAAAAGCAAAAGGGAATTCCTTATTCATTATGACGCCTAATCATCTTTCTTTTTGGTTACTTATGATGCTTCTATGTTTAACCAATTGCAAACAATTTTCCTTCTTGAGGTCACAAAATTTTTAAAAAATATTTAGAATGCCATCAATTGCTCTATACAAAGGGGGATATGACTCAAGAATACCACTTTTTGGTACTCAAGTTTAGAAATGGCGAGGGGAAAAAATCTTTTAGCCAGGTATTCCATCAATGACAATTCAACATGTGTCCAAATGCTCAATATATAATACACTCATGGCCAATAATAGTGAGTTGCTTTTGTAAGATCTGTTCTAAAGAAATCTTATTTGCGATGAAGAAATTTCTACGTTATATGCTGAACCAGAAAAGGAAACTCATTCTACCCTGGATAAGGTTCTAAATACACTAACAAGGCACATCTGATCGAAAATGTTCATTATTTTCTAAAAATACTTCATTTTATCATGTTTGAATGTTTTATCCTAGTGTAGAATATGCAATTAGTTCAAATTTGACAAAAATACAAAAGCGAGAAGATATATATAATTCTTACTACCATATAAAAAGCATACAAATACAAACAATAATTAGTATATAGTTTATTAATAACAACAAATAAAGATAAATTAAAAAGAATCATAGCCAGGAGGAGCAGAAGCTGAAGGAGAAGGAGCTACTTGTTGCTGAACAACAGTTGGAATAACAACTTGTTGGTAGTTATTCGAGTTTTCTTGTATTGGCTGAATACTTTGTTTTGGATGTCCTTTTCTATGATGTTTTCTACCCATTGATTTCTTTGGCTGTATCTGTTGTCTTGTAACTGGTTTGATTTCATTTCCTATTTCGTCAAAATCAATTTCATCTTTTCCTACAACTGCTTTTGCAGCTTGAGCAGCTTCTACAATACCATTCATCAAGTCATCGTCATCATTATTAAATGATTCGTAAGATGTAGCTTGTTGTTGTGTCCTTGAACTAGAAAATTCAACTGCAGGACGTCTTTTCTTCAAAACAGCTGGATTTCCTTGTGATTGCTGCTTCTTATGATGCTTCTTGTGTCGCTTTTCTGTCTGCTGAGGCGTTTCGTCTTCGTCACTCCAAAATCCGGCCGCATCCGGTTCATTTAATAAATCATCGCCAACAAAAGTTTGGGGAATGATGGTTTTTGGACCACCTGGAGTAAATAGTTCGAGAAGCCTTGAAATTCCGCGATCAGATTGGTTGATTAACTGTTGATAAATAGTAACTCTCATATTTGCTCTTGGATATTCAAGCCATTTCGCTATTTCTTCTAATCCAAGGTTAGTTTTCATGCTGCTGCATACATGGAAAAATCTATGTGAAAGATATTCAAGCTTTGGATGCATATCTGTTGGAATTATATCTTGAAAGTTCGATAGTACAGCAATTGGTATGGTTTTTGGTGTTTGCTCTATAACGTCGATTGCATATTGAAGGGAATTATTATCTCTTGGATCGTACATTACAATAATTCCATTTGGATTTCCTTGAGCTGTGGAAGTAATCAATGCATTTGGACTGACAACGTCAAGTAATGTGATCTTGATCTTCTCACCTTGCTTATTTTTGGAATTCCATGATATCTGGTTGGTTTGAGTGATTGTTGTTGGTTCATACTCTTGATTGAATGGTTTTGCTGTCATTCTATTGATTAGTTGGGACTTTCCAGATTGTTTATATCCTCTAACTAAGATGAGCATTTCTTTGAATGCATTGACCGGCGAAATCGAATTAAAGACTTTCAAAATAATGACCGGCAACGAATCATATTTGAACATGGAATCCATTTTAGGCCTAATAGAGTTGCAATTCTCTAGCAGTTATCCTCATCTTATCCATTTGCTTATTGATTTAATTCTTTATCATGATTTATATCATCTTAAGATCTAAAATCTTAGTTATTAGAGATAATGTTGAAATAACACAAAGGATTACAGCATAATTCCCATAATTCCTGTATAAAATCTACAAATTCATCATAAATAGCCTTGTTCTGTTAATATTTTACTGTCTATACACATTCTTAGTAATCGGCTGTGTGGTAGATAGATTTTCGATAAAATTAAAATTTGTTGGAAAATCAAAGAATTATGACTTGCTAAATCATAAAATATTGTTCTATGTAATGAGTGTAGTTAATTTTCATTGACGAAACGTTGATGTGCTTCAATAGGTTTAGATTCGAAGTTTTAGCCTTGATTTTATTTTGAAAATAAAACGTCATTCCATGTATTTTCAAATCATAATACTGGCAAACTTTTATTAGTCATGAAAATACATTGACCGAGTTTCTATTGAAAAATTTACATTCAAAAATGTCGGGGAATGAGAACCAGGAAGAAAACAAAATTCCCCATGCCGATAACGATTTCCTACAGCAGAGATGGCCTGGATGCAAACCTTTTTTAACTCCTTGCAAAGGAGCTTTGATTTTCCTATTTTTCGGAATCGTTAGTTTTGCAATCGGAATTCCATACTTTATAGTCTCGAAAGACATGAAAGAGTTTATATATGATTACACTGACTTAGATTTTGGAACAATAACAGCTAATTTCACCGTAGACAAAAATTTAACCGGAAACGTATGGATGTACTACCAGATTACTCATTTCTTCCAAAACAACTTCATATACTCAAGCTCAAAAAGCCTAGATCAGCTTAATGGCCTTTCATACGAAAAAGCCAGCACAAAACTCTGTGATTCTGTTCGTTACGCAGATGAAAATGAAACTAAAATCTTCCTCCCATGCGGTGCAGTACCTCATTCTGTATTTAACGACTCATTTACTTTCGGTTCAGGATTTCCTTCTTTGGACCGTGATTCCATAACTCCAAAAGACTACCAAAAAGCAGTTAAAAATTTTGGTTCGGGGTATACATCCGAAAATACAGTTTTTGTTATAAATGAAACAGAATTTCCAGATGGAGTCCACAACAAAGATTTCATCAACTGGATACAGATATCTCCATTCTCCAAGTTCATTAAAACCTACGCAAAGCTCGGAAGTAACTTAGAAAAAGGGACTTACAATGTTACTATTAATAACAATTATCCTGTGAAACCATTCGATGGTACAAAGAGTATCGTATTCTACGAAGTCAAATGGATGGGTTCTGCCAATAAAAACGCTGGAATTTTCTTCATTGTCATTGGAGGTGTCAGTTTCGTGTTGGCTGTCATATTCTTCTTACTACAGCTCACGAACGCAATGCCTGTGTTCAAAGTTGTCGTTGTTGACCGCCATTCTTCAAATATGTCATTTATTCACTAACTTTGTAACTTTTTTCTTGTTTATATAAACAAATTATTCTCTATTATGAACTTTCAAACAATTTTTCTTACTTGTTTTTAAAGTTTGTCAAGTATCCAATTGCTATCAGAGTATAAAGAAGCAATTAAGCATCGGGAAAATAACTTATTTGGTTAACCTACCTTTTAAATTAACATATACTCTGGAAATAATTGCAAATTCAATCTAAACTTCTTGCTCTTAGGCATTTTTTAGAGAGCGTAACAGATATTGTAGAAACTTACAAATAAGGAATTATTTACCATATCAAATGACGCTCCTATTCAGCTCATTATTTTTGTTTTCATTAATGAATCTTAACTTTAACTTTCGGATTTTTTCCAAAAATAGATACTATCTGGATGCCATATATCCAATATAAATTAAACATTCCAGGCTTACGCACCCAATTTTCTTTATGAATAACAACAAAAGTTCGTATCCTATGCATGTTTTATTCGAAATTACAGTTCGTTACCTCTTACTAAGCATTATTATCGCTTAATTTTATCAACAATTTTTTAAAATTAAATTGATTCCAAGCTCAGAAGATTACTAAGGGATTCTAAGGACCATATATGATCCATTTTTAGCAGGAGTCCGAAGGATGCCTTAATTTGGATTTTTATCCGAACAAAAAGTCTGAATTGCTTAAATTTGTTTCAATTTGGGTGTCTGATTAAACCCCATTATATTTTTAAATTTATTTGTTGAATAAAAAATTTAAGGCTCGAATTTTCTGACACCAAAATTGAGAGGAGTGCGGTACATTTTAGGAAAAATGACATTTTAGCTTTACAAAGTTTGCATTTGTAAAATGGCATTTTTGCCACTTATTTGCAGTGAGTAGGCATGCACCTAGCCTACTCACGCATTAAACTTTTAATTCGTTCTCTGGCCGACAAAGAGCCAGAGAACCACAGCTGCATTAACTTATGCTGAAGTTTTCTGGATTTCCTTCCTCATTTGAGAGAAATTCAGAAAACTTCAGCATAAACGAATTACAGACATGTTCTCTCGCTCTTTGTTGGCCAAGTACCACAACTACATTACACTAGGGCAGAGTTCTTCCGAGGCCTCTCATCAAATGAGAGACTTCGGAAAAACTCTGCTCTATTCGAGTAAAAGTTCATTCTCTGACACATAAATTGTCAGAAACTATAAGTACACTACATTAGGACAGAGTTCTTCCGAAGCCTCTCATCAAATGAGAGACTTTGGAAAAACTCTGTCCTATTTGATTAATTACAGAATCCTAGGCCTTTTGGGAACTAGGAAAGAGTAGTAAGAGTACTTTAAGGCAATGTTCATTACGAAGTCTCTCATCGAATGAGAGATTTCGTAATGAACATTGCCCATTTCGAGTAAACTTACATCTCTGACTCTCAAGGGTTCAGGGAGTAGTACTGTAGTCCATGAGGGCAATAACGTATAAGTAATATCGCCAGAAGCACAACAATTACGCAGCCTAGCTACGCTATCTTAGCAGCTAGGCTGCATAGATATTGTGCTTCTGGCTTGCAGAAACCTCATGGAAGACCCATTGGAGATCTCCAGCCGAAATCACTTGCTGATGTGGATGGAGCAGCACTATGATTGGCCAGATCAAAGGCTGCGTAGCATCCCAGCAAGTGGATAGTCGGCGGCGACACCAGCTGTGGTCCACCATGAGATTATGACACTTTTGCGATTTGGCGCCAAACTTTTTTTTGGTATTGGCAAATAAGTGGCAAAAGTGCCATTTTACAAATGCAAACTTTGTAAAGCTAAAATGTCATTTTTCCTAAAATGTACCGCACTCAAATTGAGAGAAACTCATAGAATTGATTGTTCGTGCTAATTCAAAAAGTTGGCTTAGTCCTACGCTTTTTGCACAGCATTTTAATATTTAAGTTGGAAAAAGGTTATTTTTGAGAGAATTCAATAAATTTATTTCAAAATTAACCACATTAGGACAGTTTTGAATGGTTTTTTTGACAAATTTCTGATGGGGATAAATTTTTATGGGGCCATTACTTTGGGAGTGAATTTGTAGGAGAACGAACCAACCATTGTCAAAATTGTAATCTACCAGCAGGTAAAGGTCAATATTACTTAGATGAGTGCAATTTTTTTAATGATAAAGACCGAGTTGTAAATTTTAACCCAATTGAAAACACTTTGTTTCTACATAATCGGTGTTCTTTTAGTAAATGCAATTCAACAGAAAGCGGAAGTTGCATTTACTTCAAAATTGGCATAAATAGTTATATTGTTCAACGAAAATTCTGTTGTACAAAATGCCAAAGTCAAAGTCAATATGGAGCACATTTTTCATGTACATATGTTGGCTTAAATAACTTAAACTTTTTTATTGAAAGTTCCCTTTTCGATGTAGGAAATGAAAATATTGGCTTGTCTATTGAAGCAGATAGTGATAATATCGTAGTTTCATCAACAAATTTCTCATCATGTAAAGCTAAGTGGTCACCGACTGGTTGGTATAAAAGTCCTTTACAACAATACACAACAAAATATAACTATACAACTGTTGTTAATAATTTTGTAACAGATATAAGAACTGCAATAATAAATATTTGGTATAAAGGGTTAATTGATTCATGTAATATTATAAATAATACCAAAACAACATATGATGTTGGAATTATTTACCATGATTATAATTCTCTTACTGTAAAAAGTTGTTCTTTTATTAACAACACTGTTCCTCAAGGTTCATATTTGATATATAACGATGATATTGGTGATATATATGAAGAAACAACAGTTGATAGTTGTTACATTGACAATTCGATTCCAAATACATTTTATAGAAATAAAGTACCTACTAATCCAAGAGAACTATTTATTAACAAATTGATTCATTTTTCAACTGATATTTGCCAAGCAGAATTTGCAATTATCAATAAAAGAATTTCTAAAGTTAATAAAATTTCTCTTTTTTTACAAACTTTAGTAAACATTTCTAACTCTTCATGTTTACTATTTAGTTAGTGCTTAGTACCATTTTGAGAATTTGAGTCTATATTAAAAAGTGACTTTTTTTAATATGACCTCTCAAATTTTTATCACTTTTTCATCAATTAATGAGCGGAGGATATTGGGATTTAGTTTCAACAATTGTAATAGTGCAGCTATAAAATATAGAATATACAGATGCATCTAAATGAATTTGGTGCTGTTTTCTTATTTTTCTTAAATAGATCACAATTGATTACAAATATATCCTTAATAAATGAGCAATTGCATTCTATTATATAAAAGCGCAATCTTATTACTTTATTGTCCACTTATGCAGAGCATTACTAGACGTATTTTTTTTATGAATGAATATAGAGATTATAAAATATTGTCTGACAATAGTTTTTCAAAGGGTATTTTGCTTTTTTACTTAAATATTAAAAGATACTGTATCAATAATCTTTAAAAACAAATCATTGAAAAAAAATATTAAATAAAAAAAATATTATATAAAATAAATTGCAGGCCCTGGTCTATAATGAGGCCACAGATTCGTATTTATCGATTCCAGAGCTGGATTCCTCTCCTGCCGCCAAGAACAAGACGGCAATTGAGAAAAGCGGCCCTGAGATTAGGAAGCGAAGCTTTGGCCTCAGTAACAGCCAGATCCTGTATCCATAGGTGTTTCAGGGCTGAGGAGAGAGGAGACTGTCCTTGATAATGGTGATCTCCCTCAAACTCGGCCCTGAGGATTAACCTTGCAGACTCTGGCATCAAGAAAGGCTAGAGCTTCGTATTTAATGATCCCAAGGGCCGGATTCCGCTGAGAATTGTCCGTGATTTGGAAATTCTCAGAAAACTCGGCCTCTAGGACTGTATTGGAAGACTTGGCCTCATAAGGCTCCAGAGCATGCATGTTCCTTTCTTTCATGGCAGAGTTTGTGAATTTCATTCAGTGCCAAGTTCCTCTCGGATCGATCCTAATGAGGACGACCTTCGAGGAACTTGGCACTGAGGTGATGAATTATGAACTCTGGCCTTGATGAAGGCCAGAGTTTTGATGCAATATCTTGATGGGATGAGCTTATGCTCAGTAAGCTCATCCCATCAAAACATTCGTTTAAAAATTGAATGAAAAATTATCGTATGTATTGAAATTTTTAAATAATAAACTTGAATAAAATTATTATATATAAAGAATAGAATGGAATAAATCCGAAATTGAATAAAAATTTCCAAAAAAAAATTGAAAATTCTGAAATTCAAAGAAAAAACTACAAATTTCATAGGAAAAATAAAGAATTAAAAAATTTTGTATTTATAAAGTATCAATATTTATGATCAAAATGAGAAAGTGAGTATTATTTGAGAATTTTATGCTAAATGTGATATTTATAATTTATTAAAATGAAATTATTGATGAAAGGAAGTTGCGTTTGCAATGTAATAGAATAATAGCATACAAATTTAAACTCCTTTCCAAAATAAAATAACGACGTGATATTCTTCATGTAAAATACGTCATTTTTCAGTTCTTCACACATAAATGCAGGGTACAAGTGATGTACCCTGCACTTATATGTGCACAATTGGAAAAGTATTAGTCACATTCGCATCGAAAGGAAAAGTAAGCCAATTTCCAGATCTGACTACATGGATGCAAGAGCATATAGTAACCCGCTGCAACCATGCACTCAGTCCTGGAATTGAGAATTACACATTCACATTCAAATAAAAATATGGGAAACATGGTTATATAATGTAGGTAGATGAGGACTACCTTGAAGAAAGTCCTCATCTACATACATTATAGCCTAATTTGACTTGGATGTGAATTAATCTTTTGACACCTATTAGGAAATTTATCGTTTGATTTATTTAAATAACATTAGGTCTCATTAAATTAAATAAGGAATGAATTTTTGAAATCTCCTTCAAACTTTTATAAAATAATTTTATAACGAACATTATTTGAATAACAAAATAAATATCTAGTAATTTTGAAAAGATTTTTTTTATCAAAAGTTGTCTCAAAATTGAAAGCAATAAAAATACAATAAAGAGTTCAATAATAATATATTAAATCAAAAATATGGCGAAAACCCTTAATTTATTTTCAATATGATTTTATTACATTCAATTTTGAATGATAGAAAAAAGTAAGATTTCTTTGAATTTTTGACTCTTAATATCATTTATCTATCAGTTTGAATATTCATTCTATAATATGTAACCATATATTAATTTATAAACGTTACTAACTCTTCTTTTCATATCAAAAACAAATAATATGTTTAATTACCTTCATTATGAATCCAAATACATGTATTTCTAAGTATATCATAATATATATCTAACGTCTATCATCAAATCCTATTTTTATCTATTAATCATTTAATAATTTAATTTCATTTGCAAAATATCCGATATCTGACTATATTTACTGAACAATAATCATCAATAACACAATATAACGCATATATAATAATAAAAATATGTGTATTCGATATATTCATTCTAATTCAAATTAGCATCTTGATCAAAACTCAATTATAGTCATTACCATTTTATATATATATTACTCTAATTATATCTAATTTAATTGTTATAGTAAACATTAATATATTGCTAAATGCTTAATATTGATTTTTATATAACTTTAATAGTATGCCCATTGCATAATATGATCATCACAAGAATGAGTTCTGATCATATGTGCAATTCCACATTATATAGACAAATCACATAAAAAAAGATGAAAAAGTGATAATAAATTGAAAGGTCGTATTAAAAAAAGTCACTTTTTAATATATACTCTGAGAATTTCATGGTAAACCTTAAAAACTCTTCATTATTTTTAGTATCTCCCATTAGACAGAATATAATCCAAAACGTATTTATATTGTCTAATTTATATCAAGTTTTAATGATATATAAGAATAAGATTGATTAATCATAGTAAATTATTGGACAACAGACTACCACAAGAATATTAATGATACTAAAAGTTAGAAAGTGTATTTTATATTGTGAAATCATTTACAATATGTTGAAAAAGGTGTTAAATAATTAAAAACATGTTTATTCAAGGGTGCACTTACCACTTTCTGACATTCTCTCAATTTTTTTACCCACAAGCTTTCTATCCCAATATTCTAAGGTCAAAAGTTAATATTTCTGGTCGGGAGAAAGTAAATATAAATCACTATATAGTACCTAATATGGTTGCTATATATTGATTTTTTCATAGCATGTCAGAAAGTGATAAGTGCACCCATAACAAAAAACAAAATAAAATTAATCTTTGTCAACGAATTGATCAATTTTATCTTCATCATTCAACTCTTTAGATGTCAATGAAGCAATCTTTTCGAATATTGTTTCATTCCTGAGTTTGTTTACAATTGAATCAAAATTTTCATCAGTGAATTTCAAATCAGAATAATCAGAATAAGGAACTAACTGAAGCAATGATACTCTTCTCGATATATCACTTATTTTCCTCTTAATTTTGAGGTTTTCAAGAAAATCTAAATTATTTTCAGTTCCAAAGATGTGGAGCTCTTCCATGTCACTGAGAGGAAGATTGGTAGCAAGTATCGACTTAGAGTTAGCTACTTCCTTCCATAACTCTAAGAAATAATAAGGAGTTCTCGGATGAAAACAATCAACAAAAAATTCAGAGAGTTGTGTCACTTTTTCAAGAAGGGAAATTAGAGCTGGAATTGAATTTTCGCATTGTTCCTTAGCTTCCAATCTCAAGTGGCTGATCCAAGAGGCTCCACAGAGTGAGATGATGAAGTGCGACAGGATGGCATCATTAAAATTCCCACTGAGTTCGATTCCTTTGATTTTTAACTCAAAAATCAATTTGGCCAAAAAAGAAAGAAAAATTTGACAGTTATCGGTTAAAATGTCATTCAAAATTAAGCAATGTAATCGCTTTTGGGTATTAACGAAGGCAAAGAACGAGTTATACGCATTTGATGAGAAACAATTGCCTGTTAAGTCGATTTCGCACAAATTTGGATAAATTTTATCAAATTCAAGCAAATTGAAAGCGTTAAAGACATCATCCTTCATGACAAGGCCTTGTGCTGCGAAAACAATGCTTCTTCGATGCCATTTCCGAGTCAAAAACTGTAAAAGTGACAAGAAAATTTCTTGTGTGAAACTACATTGGGAAACATTGAAATACAATAGTGTATTTGGCATATCCAAGTCATCAGAGATGTTTGTTTTGAACACCATTGCTCTCAAAGTGATAGTTTTCAGATGAGAATAATTTTTATCGCATAAAGTCCTTAATAACAAGGTTGCATCGATCTCCAAGCCTCTAAATACGACAGTCTCGAGGTTTAAAGCGAAATTCATTAACCTAGTTATGTCATCAAAAGGAAATGGTTTCATTTGCACCCTATGCATGTAAAGTTTCTTTAATTTCGTAGCTGGTGGTGATAATGACATGTAGGTAATGATATCTCCGAACTCTTGAGCTCTCAAAGTACAAACAGAAAGTGCTAATTCTTGAATAGGAGTAACAAAGTCAACTGATGCGTTAATGAAGTCAATAGCAAGTTGCCCACAACATCTCATGAATAAATATCTGTTGATTGATGTCTCTTCGTGTGCAAATTTAAAAGTTATCGGGTTTTGTTCTTTGTAATCCGAAAAAATCACTTGGGAGATATGATTCGTTTGTGACAAAATCACATTGAGTAGATCTGATAGGTTGGGATCAGTGTAAGCCTGAAATAAAATCGTATTTATTTTAGATTCATAAGCAATTGTAGTTCCGTATGTCTGAAACATGTTGCCGACTTGTAATTCAGGAGTTATGATGATTTGATCTTTGAGATTTTCTTCTTGTTTCCTGAAATAAGTTGCATTTTCTATAAATTCGCTTTTTTCTTTGTAGAAATGTGCTAAAGCTATCGTTCTTTTGAAAAATAAATCATTTGGCCTATTCTTAGGCTTCATATTTTGAAGAGGAAGGCCAGATCTGACTCTAAGTTTTGGAGGATTCTTAAATTTATAAGTGACTTCTAGAAATATGCTAATAATCATACTTAATAATTCATCTACTTGAGGATGCTTGACAGATATTTTCGTTGTATCATGATATAATTTTAATTGTCCTTCTTCTGTTCCACAGCGACTCAAATCAAGCAATGGAATTTCATATACTAATTCTGTGTTTCCGAAAATTGTTGCCTTTATAAAATAAAGTGCTCCATATGTTAAAATGAAAAATCCATTATAGGAATTTTGTTGTTTTCCGACTGAAATATCAGCTTGAACAGCTATTAAAATTTGTTCTAATGAAGACCAGATATGATTATACATTGATTGAAGTTTTGCTTCTGGTATTGAAATAAAGCGATCATTCATCAATATATAATGACTATGAAAAGTTATCAAATCATATTTTTATCAACAAAGGATCATATGTGCACTTATATTGGCGTATAAATGTACATATTGAAATTGAAATCCATCTAAAAATATAATTATTCATTTTCTTTTGGTGAAAATCAATCATACAACTTTTATTAGATCCATTCATAAGTTTTTTCAGATTTTAATTCAAATTCCGATAAAAAAATCCTGAAAAAAATTGATTGTGTTGGAATTTTAAAATTCTTAAGAATTGTTTGAAACATATTATATTTCAATAAAGTTAAGTGAATTTACAATATGGAATTCAATGGAAAAAAATTTTTTTTGTCATAATTTTTAGGATGAGTCAAAAAAGGAAGTTATTAGCAGCAGAACTTAGACTTCAGAAGGATTTTGCACTTCTTGATGACTATCGTGGCATTAAAGTTGTTTTTCCCAAATCAGACGATTTATTACATTTCAATATTCGTATAAAACCAACGAGAGGCATTTGGAAAGATCACAATTTTGATTTAAAGTTTGATGTTCCTGAAGAATTCCCCATTGCTCCACCACATGTTACACTTTTGACAAAAATTTGGCATCCAAATATCGATGAAGAAGGAAACATTTGCTTAAATATCATTAAAGGAGATTACAATCCAACTATTACAATCCTTCAAATTATTCAAGGCATCGAATTGATATTTGTCACTCCAAATCCTTACTCCCCACTAAATAATGCTGCAGCAGAAATGTTAATTCATGATGAAAGTGGATTTAGAGAAAAAGTGGAAGAATATATGGAGGAGTTTTGTCCATGCGACTAAACAATAAAAAAATTATAGATTAATTTTTTTTGAAATAGATTCGGAAAAGAAACCATTTCGATTTAGCTTTCTTAGTAATTAACAATTTTATAGTGATAATAGAAATGAAATCATTAATTACTGATTATATCTAAATTCTCGTTCAAAACCTATTATATTGAAGATTTTACTGATTCACTTTACAAATAATCTTGATTCAAATATAATACTCCTTAATAACTCAATTGTGCAAGTAAAAGAATCCAATTCATATAATTTGGATCTGAAATTTGGTTTTGATGGAATATCTCAATTCATGCTTTCTGGTTTATTAGAAGGAAAACTCAATTAGACAACCAGATAAAGTTATTTCCATCAAAATTAAAATTTCGAATCAGATAAATTGAAAGAAATAGTAGAAAACAATACAAAGAATATGAGTTGAGGGGAATAAACGTGCAGAAATATAATTTTTTTGGTAAATAAAAAAAATTATTAAATATGAGCACAAATATAAAATCTTTAAATGTAAAGACCCTCTGGAATATTCTCCTTACGACGATACATAACCATTTCGCGTCCCTTTCTGAAATCTGCCTGGCATTCCATCAAACGGCCATCTCTAAGCGCGATGAGGCCTGCTTCAGAGCAGATAGCCTTGATATCAGCTCCACTGATTTCATCCTTAGTGTTAGCGAACTCCATGAGGTTTACATCTGGTGCCAAGTGCATATTTGCTGTATGTATCTGGAAGATTTTGAGTTTTGTCTTATTATCAGGGAATGGTAATTCGATTTTACGATCGATACGGCCTGGACGGATAAGAGCAGGGTCCAATGTCTCAATACGATTTGTAGCCATGATGACTTTAATATCACCGCGGTCATCGAAACCATCAAGTTGGTTGAGGAGTTCAAGCATAGTACGCTGAACTTCACGTTCACCACTTGATGTTGAATCATATCTCTTTGTACCGACGGCATCGATTTCATCAATGAAGACAATGGATGGGGCAAGCTCGTGGGCGGTCTTGAAAAGCTCTCTGACCAATTTCGGACCTTCACCGAGGTATTTCTGAATTAATTCGGAACCGACAACACGAAGGAAGGTTGCGGATGTAGATTTAGCGACAGCTCTTGCAAGTAATGTCTTGCCTGTACCTGGTGGACCGAAAAGAATGACACCTTTTGGTGGCTGAACACCGATTTCATCAAATTGCTCTGGATGAGTCAATGGAAGCTCTACGGCTTCCTTGATATCGACAATTTGGTCTTCGAGACCACCGATATCGGCGAAAGATTCAAGTGGGGCATTTTCGACTTTCATGACGTCGACAAGTGGATTTGCGTCGTCATCAAGAAGGCCGACGATTGTAAGAGCCTTTTCGTGAAGTAAAACGGAGCATCCAATTTGAAGAGCCTTGCGATCGACAAATGAAGAAATTGTAACGTAAAAGTCTTGCACTGAGCGTGAAACAATAGCGTGATCATCATCAACGATTTCTTCTAATGTTCCTACCATCATAGGAGAGCCACGAACTTCTTCGAGTTTGCGGCGCTTATCTTCTTGCTGTTGTTCGCGTGAAGATAATGTTTCGCAGTTGTTGATGAACTCCTCTTCCATTTTGAGCCAGTCCTTAACGCGTTCGAGCTTTAAAAGACGAAGTTGGCACTTTGCATTTGGTGTAACTGTTGGAATATGAGTATTTTTAGCTCCTCTTTGAGCTTTTTGGAACTGGTTGTTCTTCAAAGCATGCTTTTTTCTCTCTTCTTCTGTAAGTTTCTTCTTTGGATTTACAGATTCTTCCTCTTTTCCTTCTTTCTTTTCTTCTTCATTTGGAGCATTATTTTCCTCCTCCTTTTTCTCGTTATTTTCTTGTTCTTTCTTGCCGTCTCCTTCTACTGGTTTCTCTTGTTGTTGTTCACTCATTTTAAATGACGATAAAAAATAGGTTGGTCAAAAAAAATTTCATCAAAAATTTGTTTGCTAAAAATAATTATTGATTAATGGTACCATATGAAACTACATTTAATAGCCAAAATAAATTGATACATAAATCATTGAATAAATTTTCCAATAATTTTTATCAAATAAAATCGTTCTCACTCTAAATATCAATATGTTAGCTTTACAACTTGAACTACATAACACACAGAATAGGTGTTTCTTATATCAATACTTTATTCTGTGTTAAAGTCACTCTAAAGCCTTGGCATTGCTAGTGCCAGCTAATCCATATTCATATGTTTAAAGGTAAGAGTTAAAAGGTGAGAAAATGGACTTCATTGAAATAAATTTATGATATGAAGAATCTCGATGTTAGATTTTATATAACATATGGTATTTATTCATATCAAACAAACAAAGTAATCTTATTGTGGATAAGGAGAAGTAAATATTGGTTCTGTTGTATTTGGAACACCTCTATGACGAGCAATATCTTGCAATTCAAACATTTGCTGCTGTAATTGAGTCCATATTTGATTTGCAGGTAATTGAGTCTCTGTGCAATCCATTTTATCAGTTCTTTTCCATGGATCGATTAAGCTACGATTGAGAAAAGATTTAGACATCGGATCTGGAAGATCATTATCGAATGAATATTCTTCAGGTTTTGTTTTGGCTGGGGCAGTTGATTTCATCTTGGAGTTGTACGCTAAAGAATTTTTGACATGTAAAGCGTCAATTTTATGAAAAATCTCAACACTAAAAATTCAATATGATGCAAAAGATCAAAACAGAATTTGGCATATCATACATAATTTACAAACGACAAACAATATAAATATAATATAACATAATTTCATTGATTCTTACCATGCGATGGTTCTGTTACAACAGCATCACTGCCTTCAGATCCTACTTCGTCAATATCGTAAGGATCTGAATCTCCTTGGTATTTATTAAAATTGCAAACTTCTTTTGGAAAACTAAAGCCAGGAACGTATCTAACGAATCCTAAAAAGTGTGACAATGAAATATTAAATACGAATCTTCCTATGCTTTCGCTTCTTGTCACCCAATAAGGATAATTTTGAACGTTATTTTCTCCAACAAGGATTTTGCAAAATTCCAAAGTAAAAGAATTGCAGTTATGGTATAGAACATGATAGTAATCGCTAAGCCATTTATCAGAAGCCTTTAATTGATGGCAAATCTCTCTGCATTCTTCGACTGATAAAGATGTCTCTCCAATTTCATGTGATGAGTTAAATGAACCTTGCATAACAGATGGTAATTGATTTATAACTTCAGGACCGTCAATCCCTGTAATTCCTCTTTGACAAAATCCGTAATAATATTCATATTCTTCGCCAATAACAATGCTTGTATGGTAAACACCAACTTTGAAACACGCAAATACTTTGTTCAGTGGTGTAAGATTGAATACATTCACCTTGATTTTCGTCATTTTGCACAAATTGAAAACCGACACAGAGTTTTACTCAAATAATTGATTATGATTTATCACACATCCTTAAGTTAATTTAAGAAAGGTTGTAAAAAATCGTTTGCAAGCATTCAAATTTTCAGAACTTTTAACGTTCATGAAAATTAGAATTTGCAAACGATTAAAGAAATTATTGTGGGAGAAGTGCTTCAACCTTAAAGCAAGCAATATCGGACCTATATTTTAACTATAAGCTTGTTGATTGCAATATGGGTTTCACACGTTGTGAAATGTTCCAGTTCGAAGATTTTTCTGATTATTATATTTGATTTTGATTAGACTATGTGTTTAATAGTTCTTTTGGTAGTATATATTCATAATTTAGTCGAATTAGTAGCGTTTACAACTTATTTCGGCGTTTACAGCTTAATAAACCTTAAACGGTAATTCCTGGAAATAGAGGGTATTAATTGAGCAATGTAGTTCAAGGGTGAGAATCTTTTAACAAAAATGATATATATCGAACAAATTAGAGTTTTCGATTTTGAAACTTTCATTAGAAGAGAATGAAATATTAGATTATGAAGATTTAGAAATGTTTACTAAAGTTTGTAAAAAAAGAGAAAGTCTATTAACATAAGAAATACTTTTTTTGATAATTGCAAATTCTGCTTGGCAAATATCAGTTGAAAAATGAATCAATTTGTTAGTAAATAGTTCTCTTGTATTAGTAGGTACTACATTTCTATAAAATGTATTTGAAATCGAATTGTCAATGTAACAATTATCAACTGTTAATTGATCATCATAGTTATATATCAAATATGAACCTTGAGGAACAGTGTTGTTAATAAAAGAACAACTTTTTACAGTAAGAGAATTATCTGAATGGTAAATAATAATTCCAAAATCTGATGTTGCTATGGTATTATTTATAATATTACATGAATCAATCAAAGAGTTATTCCAAATACTTAGAATCATAGTACTTATTGCTAAATTATTAACAACAGTTGTATAGTTATATTTTGTTGTGTAATTAACATTAGGACTTTTAATCCAACCAGCAGGGCAGTAACTAGCTTTACATGATGAGAAATTTGTTGATGAAACTACGATATTATCACGTTCTGCTTCAATAGAACAACCAAAACTTTCTTTTCCTACATCGAAAAGGGAACTTTCAATAATAAAGTTTAAGTTATCTTTGTCAACTTTTGTATATGAAAAATGTGCTCCACTTTGGCTTTGGCATTTTGTACAACAGAATTTTCGTTGAACAATAGAACTATTACTCCCAATTTTGAAGTAAATGCAACTTCCACTTGATGTTGAAGTGCATTTACTAAAAGAACACCGATTATGTAAAAGCAAAGAGTTTTCAATTGGGTAAAAGTTGATAACTCTATCGTTATCATCAAAAAAATTACACTCATCTAAGTAATATTGACCTTTCTCTGCATCTGGACTACAATTTTGACAATGCTTAGTTTGTTCTCCTACAAATTCACTCGCAAAGTAACTGTTCCATAAAAAACTATCTCCATCAGAAATTTGTCAAATTTGTCAAAACCGAGAAAAAAACATCTGATTTCTAAACTGCGGGACAAAAGGCGTAAGTAAATTTAAAAATTTTTTTATCTTCCAGATTTATGCTACACTTCCAAATTTGATCATATAATATTATACTCTTTATGCCATTGAATAGCTTCGCAGGATAATTTGATATTCATAGTAACATTGTATGTTCTTTATGAGCTTATCAGACACAGAAATGTTATTTATCTCGTACTATCTACTTATAGATTCTTGAGCTCGAAGTGTAATGAATCAGTTGATCTCATTAAAAATTATAAGATATCTAATATGCTCCAATTTTAGATATGTTTGTGTATGCCAACATATTATTCAATCAATTTTACACTATTACCTTCTAATAGACTAAAATTCCATCTTATTTAGCCCTTCTGATGCAAAGATTAAAGAACTTATATCAATCGAGAAAGTCTGCTTAATTTCAAAAAACAATCCTTGCATCAACACATCGATTGCATTCACAGAATAGAAATTCAAATTAATCGAATAGAAAACATGAGCATTTATGTTTGAGGGTTTGTCAAAGAATATAGATCATTTTAAAACATAAATAAATATTTTTATTCATCAGCTAATTCAGGGAAAACCGAATAAATTTCTCTCATCAAAGATTCCATGTTTTCTACCAACTCATTAATTCTTTCAGGTGAAGGATCTTCTTCATCCTGCACGTCATCTATTAGATTAAAAACATTCTTTCTTAACTGGTTGTGTTCTGCATTTTTATTTGATTCCTCTCTGCACTTCTTCTTTATTTTCTCACCTAACAAAGGCAGTCTTGATGCCAATTTCTCGAATTCTTCCTTTGGATTTCTCACAACAGCCAAGTTATTTCTAATTCTATCTAATTCTTGTTCTGATGTTCCAAGTTCTTTATTAAACACGTATTTGACTTTTTTGTTCTCAACAGATGCATTCAATGTTAAAATACCACTTCTATCAATCGTCATCTCTATTGCAACTTCAACTTTTCCTGCTTTTCTCTTTGGAAAATCACTGATTGTAAACATTCCCAAAAAACTATTTTCAGAAGCTTTCCTGTTTTCGCCTTGGAAAACAGCAATATCCATGAACTCCTGGTAATCAACAGTTGTACAATATGTCTGAACTTCTTTAGCGGGAATGACAACACCGCTTGGAATGATCTTCGAAAAAATGTCATTTTCTTCGCGAATTCCAAATGACAAACTCACTTTTTCTACAAGTTTTATCTGTCTTCCATGTACCATTCTAGGTGTTGGCTTTGGTTTGTCTTCTTCCTCATCATGGTCGCTGTGGGAATGAGCTCTGACTTGTCTGTTCGGTCTTTCACGCTGATTATTTGTTTGATCTGCTATGACATCTTCGATTTCGTGGTTCGTTGTATCAAATGCTGGTGCTGAAAAAGTCATTCTACTTCTTGGAGGTGTGGATGATGATGAATCTTCGGAAATTTCTTCAATTCCGTTAATTTCATGCTGTGGCTCGAATCCGTTGATGCAATGGAGGTTGTAGCATTGTAAACATGCACCTCTGGATACAACTTCTAATGGTTTTATCGATTGCATCGGTTTTTTATCAAAATAATTTTCAATAAGTTCTCCAACAGCAGGTATTTGCGATGAGCCGCCAACAAGAATGATTTGGGAGATATCATCTGGCTGCAATTTGGCCTCGTTCAATGTTTCTTCGATTAAATCTTTTGCTTTTTCCAAAAATCCCGAAATTCGCTTCTCAAAATTACGTTTTGTAAGTTTTGCATTGAGATCAAAGCCTTGATAGAACTTATTAAGAGTAAAATTAGCTGTTCTAAGGTTTGATAAATTTCTTTTCAGTTTTTCGCATTCTATTTTAAGTAACATCATTGCCATTTGACCTTCTTTTGTGGACATATCAATTTTAACATTGTTTTGCTTCTCGAAATCGTCTTTGAAATAACCAACAAGAATTTTATCAATATCTTGGCCTCCGAAGTGCGGATTGCCTTTAGTTTTAACTACTCTGCATTCCGTTTGATTTATATCTACAATGGAAATGTCTAATGTGCCGCCACCGAAATCAAAAATTAAAACTTTTTCTTGTGTATGTTTTGGAAGTCCTTGGGCATATTCAAGGGCTGCAGCAGATGGCTCATCTAAAAGAGCAACGTGTTTGAATCCAGCGATCTCTTTTGCAGCTAAAATTGTTTTTTCTCTCTGAATTGAGTCAAAAGCAGCAGGAACTGTAACGACAACATCGGAGCATTCGCCGGATGTAAGAGTTTTCTCTGTAATGTTCTTTAAATATCGTAAAATATGGCCCGAAATTTCTTCTGGAGCTAAAGGAATGATTTTGCCTTTATATTCGATGTTGATGTTAATAGAATTGTTTGCACCTCTTACCGTTTCAAACATCCAGTTCTTTCTGTCAATTTGGAAATCTTTATTATCAAATTTCTTTCCAATCATTCTCTTTGAGTCATAAACAGTGTATTTAGTATTATTTAAAATCTGATTCATCGCAACAGCACCATATAGAATATTATCTCCGCAGTAACTGACATAAGATGGAATCTGAGAAGTGGAGCCATCTAGAATGGGACTAACTATATGTCTCTTTTCATCATATATATGAACACAACAATATGTTGTTCCTAAATCGATGCCAACGTGATGTCTCGTCATTTTAAATTTTAAGCTGGTATTTTTTCAAAAAAAATTTGAATGAAAAATATTCCAAACTTTTGGTATGTTGAAACAATTGATATTTTTAGGAAAAATTATTGAACTCACTTTGACTGATGGAAAATTTTTCGACTTTCAATTCAATTTTAGTCTACCTAAAATCCCGTCTTATTTCGTTATAATCTTCAGTTTTTACTAAGTAATTCTAAGCCACATGTATATATTATTCAAAAACACATTAGAGAGGCTATTCTAATGGAACTTTTTCAAGAATTGAAATTTGATCTTCAATTATTTACAAATTTAAGACAAACAATTGTTATGCCTCAAATGATTAGGAAGAAATATGCAATAATGATGTGATCAGAATTCTTATTTCTCTATCAATTTGCGAAAAGTTCTTCAATCACTCATTATGTAAGGTATATACTAATAAAATTCTTCCTCTGTTATGTTTTGCATGAAGCATTGTAAAAAATGATATGTTGATACAGTAAGATACTCGGAAATGATTTGAATAAATATAAATTTGCTTTTTATGTAGTGTATATATGCTACCATTGATTTTTTAAAAATTTATCTCTTATTAACGAGCAAAAAATGGGTACTATTTCCTTATCGATTTCAATATTATTTACATAAACCTGTTATTATCGCATATTATTAGAATAAAAACACAGTGTAATGCTAAGGCTGCTTATATTTGTATTCTAAGCTATGTGTCTCCCTGCAATTAAAATATCCGCGGCAGAAAAATATGTCACTTTTCTGATTTTTCAAAAAATGGCTTCCCAAAATGTTATTCAACGTATTCTTCGTGATAAAATGAATACAATATTCGAGGATAACCCACACAATGCATTTACCGTTGATGATCTTCATAAAAAGCTTTCTGAACAAGGAAGTTGTGATTCAGCAACAATCCTTGCCTTATTGAGACAAATTATATCAAATGGTAAAGTTCGTGTTGTCTATGGCAATGATAAAGAGCCACAACGCTATAAAGCTGTTCCACCAAAGTTACAAGAATCATTTATCGGTTTAGACGACGACCATCATAGAATTTACGATTTAATAGATAAAGCCGGTAACAAAGGAATCTGGAGACGTGATATCAGGAAGGCAGGAGGCTGTGCAGACAAAACTTTATCAAATGTTCTTAAAGAACTTGAAACCCGTTGCCTTATCAAGAGCATTACATCTATTCATGAAAAGAAGCTTAAATTATACCTCCTTTACGATATGCCTCCTTCAGAAGAAATTACTGGTGGTGTTTGGTACTTAGATGGAACATTTAACACTACTTTCGTCGAGCAATTGATTGCTAATTCGGTTAATATCGTCCAAGTGTCCGGAGGAATTACTGTTAAAGATATGATAGAAAAAATCAAATTAAATACGCTTGCAGCAGCTCATATTACAGACAAAGAAGCTGAACAAGTTATTACAGCTATGGTGCACTCTAAGAGAGTCATCAAAACATCAGGCGCCATGCTCAGACCAGGAATTCTCGAAGTTCCGCCTTGTCCGATCTCAGAAGTGCCATGCTGTGGTTGCCCAGTGTTTACTCAATGCTACCCTGGCGGCCCTATCAATCCGAGAAGCTGCCCTTACTTGCAAAAGTTAAGAGAATTATTCTAAAATAAAAATATGTATGTTAACAAATAAATTTATCTTTTTCCTCATTTATAAGATAAATAATTATATTTAGTTCGAATAATATTATGAAAAACCCTTATTAAATCCTCATATTCATTATATTTTCAGCAAATCTCTGATTTAAACGTGGATTTTTACTCCATTATGAATTAATTGACACATGGAACATAAAATTAGATTGTTTAATGCAATTGTCAAAATGACTGTATTTCGTGAGGATTTCTCTATTCAATATCAATTGTTGCAATTTATAGATTCAGTTGATTCTTAGGTATCATTACAAATAAAAAATTATAGTGTATTAAGCTTAAATCGATGTGGAAATAATAGATTATGAAGATTTAGAAATGTTTACTAAAGTTTGTAAAAAAAGAGAAATTTTATTAACTTTAGAAATTCTTTTATTGATAATTGCAAATTCTGCTTGGCAAATACCAGTTGAAAGATGAATCAATTTGTTAGTAAATAGTTCTCTTGGATTAGTAGGTACTACATTATATCTAATTGTTGATGAAATCGAATTGTCAATGTAACAATTATCAACTGTTGTTTGTTCATTTGGATCACCATAAGCATCGTTATATATCAAATATGAACCTTCAGGACCAGTGTTGTTAATAAAAGAACAACTTTTTACAGTAAGAGAATTATATACATGGTAAATAATAATTCCTCTTTCTGATGTTGCTATGGTATTATTTATAATATTACATGAATCAATCAAAGAGTTATTCCAAATACTTAGAATCATAGTACTTATTGCTAAATTATTAACAACAGTTGTATAGTTATATTTTGTTGTGTAATTAACATTAAGACTTTTTAAAAAACCAGCAGGTCCCCAAGATGCTTTGCATGATGAGAAATTTGTTGATGAAACTATGATATTATCACGTTCTGCATAAATAGAACAACCAAAACTTTCATTTCCTACATCGAAAAGGGAACTTTCAATAAAAAAGTTTAAGTTATCTTTGTCAACATATGTATATGAAAAATGTGCTCCTTGTTGATCATGAGTTTGGCATTTTGTACAACAGAATTTTCGTTGAACAATAGAACTATTACTCCCAATTTTGAAGTAAATGCAACTTCCACTTGATGTTGAAGTGCAATTACTAAAAGAGCACCGATTATGTAGGAACAGTGAGTTTTCAATTGGATCAAAGTTGATAACTCGGTTATTATCATCATAAAAATTGCACTCATCTAAGTAATATTGACCTTTATCTGCTGGTAGATTACAGTTTTGACAATGCTTAGTTTGTTCTCCTACAAATTCACTCGCAAAGTAACTGCTCCATGAAAATCCATCAGAAATTTGTCAAAATTGACAATAACTAAAAATGACAAATGAACCGAAACAACCTGAAAATTTGATGATTCTCGTCCCTTAAAAAATGACAATACAATTAAAATGTCACTTTTATAATAAAAAATATTAAAAATGATAATAAATGGGAAAATCAAGATTGGCGAAGAACTTGGCAGAGGTTCTTTTGCGACGGTGTACAAGTCCACAATAGTGGGAAATTATCCACCATTGCAAATTGGTGATGTTGTCGCTGTTAAATCGATTTCAACAAACAAATTTTCAACTCCTGAAGAAAGAGAGAAATTAGAAAATGAAATTAATCTCATGAAAAAGCTATCGCACACAAATATTGTAAAATTATATGGTGTTGAAAGAACTTCTTCGACTTATTTTTTAGTTATGGAATATTGCGAGACTGGTGACTTGCATTTCTTCTTGAAAAAGTTTGGTCTTGGAATATCACCTGAAATGCTTTACAATTTCATTCAACAAATAGGAAATGGTTTACAATATTTGAAATCTCAAGAAATTATTCATCGTGACTTGAAACCACAAAATATTATGATCAAAGGTCAGTGGCCTGATATTACTTTAAAGCTTGCGGACTTTGGTTTTGCAAGATTTCTTCATGATAACGATATGGCTGAAACAATTTGCGGTTCACCAATATACATGGCTCCAGAAATACAATTTAATTCACCTTACACGTCAGCTGTTGACATGTGGAGCTTAGGCGTCATAATTTACGAAATGATTGTGTCACAACCTCCATTTCCGAACTGCAAATCACCGTTTGAATTAACAAATGAGATCAAAAAACTCGGTTCCCGTCCAATTGAGGTTCCAAAAAGCATTTCTTGTCCGGATTTACTTCGAGATTTAGTTTCTAAGCTTTTGACAGTAGATCCAACAAGGAGAATGACATTAAAAGAATTTGTTGAGCATCAGTACTTCAAATCTCCTCCAAAATCTTCATTAGAAAATACATCAGGTCGAAAGAAGAAATTTTCTTTTTCAAACATCATTACTCTTGATAAAAATGAAGGACCTGATAAGATTTTGTCACTTGTTAAGGAATCCGCTGATTCAATTGAAGCATTATTCACAGATTGCCAAGATATAGGCGATTCAGTTCTTTTTGACTTACTTACTACAATGTGCGAATTTTTGGTCGATATTTTATACGAATGCCGAGCAATAGGAAGCTGTCAGTACGAAGATCAGATTATTCAGCAAATTGAAGGGTACAAAGATGAAGCTGATGAGCTTTCCCAGACTGAGATGGAGCCTCCTTCGATATCTGCTTTGAAATTTTTGTTTGATAAAGGAATGGAATACGCAATGACAGGAGTTAAAGCGGAACAAGACGGAAATATGTCCTTTGCAAAGTTTAAGTACCAAAAGTCACTCTATATTTTGTGTCCTTTGGTCTTTTTGATAGGAAGAGATGAAGAAATTTTCAAAGTTCGTATTTTATACGATCAGTTGATGTTTAGATTAAGTATTCCTTCGCCTGAAGAAAATTTGACTATTTAATAATTTGATTTTTTTATATTTGATAAATAGATATGTTATTTTTATTCTATTTCATGAATATTTTTATTACTTCAGTCATAGATCTATATATTGTTATATTAAATGCTTGAAAAACATTTTGAAAAATAATTATGAAAATTATTAGTCATATAAGCTATTATAAGACTGTACTCTTATGTAACAGTAAATTGAAAGTAAAATACATAAGATTAATCATGATTAATCAGTTTACATTGATGATCATAACTGAAAATCATGATGAAATTAGAGGATTTCTCCTCATTCTAAGAATCTCTTAATTTACAATGTGGTGGTTATTTGTGTAACAGTAGTGGTTAAGTTAGAGATCCTCAATCTCCATCAAAATTTCTCGATATAATACTTTTTAAACATATTTATGGATGATAGTATGTAAAAATTAATAGAATACAAGACAGTAATAAATATTTAAAAAACAAATTAGAAAAAAAATTAGATTATAATTGAGATTTCTTCAAAGAGCTAAGTGTTTCGAGATCTTCGTTTGCCGAATGAATAAGTCGAAGTATACGCGTAAGCGTTTGATGACATTGTGAAGCAATGATTGAATGCTCAATCATATATCTTTGTCCATTGATTTGGACGACAGATTTAGGAGAATAGTTAAACGGAGTTGAGTGTACATGCATTTCACGGAGAGGATCTGTTGTTGGCTGAACCATATAAATTGATACGTAAAAAGAATCGCGGAATGGAAAAACGCTGATCAAAAGATTCTCTGGTGGAGCTGGTTCTATCGAAGAAGCCCAATCTGGAGTTATCTCTGAGTTTGTTAAGAATTCTCGAACGGTCAAAATTCGTTCGCACTGTAAAATATCTCTATGTGCATCCTCAGCTAGTGTAACTGTAAGCATTGATGGATTTTTAGCTAAATAACGCATTTTAGGAATAAGTGGTGAAATTATTGATAAAATCGAATGAAATTCTGTGACAGGATAGCTACTAATTTTATAAGAAACCTCGCCTCCTGTTTGTGCATTTAATGTAGTATATATTGTGCATAAATCATATAAATCTTGCTCAATTTTGATACGAGCACTAACTTTTCCATTGGAAGAATTAATTTCTACTAAGATTTCTTCGCGCTTCAGAATGTTTTCGATTGCTTGGAGACTTTCTACGACTCTATTAAGTTCAGGTAAAGAGTTTATTTGATGATCACCCATTCAAAGTGAGATAAAATTGATAAACAATTGATAAAAATGAAAGTAGAATGTGCATTTGATATAAATTATTAAAAATTTTTAATTGCTATATAAAATTTTATTTGTCAAAACCATCGACTTTACGTTGACAAAATCTTTATAATTGTCAAAAAAGTTGTATGTCTTTGACCTAACCGCTGTCTTTTCTTTTAATGTCAAAACGTGGACGTACAGGTCAGCAAGGCACAAAGTTCGCCATGACAGCAGGTCTTCCAGTTGGTGCAGTCATCAACTGCTGCGATAACTCCGGCGCTAAGAACATGTTCATCATTTCTGTTCGTGGCCATAAGGGTCGTCTCAACCGTCTCCCAGCTGCTTCAGTTTCAGATCTTATCGTTGTTACATGCAAGAAGGGTAAGCCAGCTCTTCGTAAGAAAGTCTCCATGGGCGTCGTTGTTCGCCAACGCGCAATCTGGCGCCGTAAGGATGGCGTAGTTATCGGATTCCAGGATAATGCTGGCGTTATTATCAATGATAAGGGTGAAATGAAGGGTTCTGCTATCACAGGACCAGTTGCTAAGGAAGCTGCTGAACTTTGGCCAAAAGTTGCTTCAGTTGCCCCAGCCGTTTTCTAAGAATAGAATTTTACCTCTAGATTATTCATAAAAAGTCAAAATATAGCAATATTAAAAACAAAATTTACATCTTTAGAGAATTTTATGAAAACTACTCTACAAATTAAGAATTTTGAAATAAAACATTTAAAACTTCAATGAATTTTAACATGGAATTGAAATTCCATAAAAATCAAATATTTATCCTTGAGATTACCTTTTTTTAATAACTATTTTCTATTCTTTTGAAGTTAGTTTTGAATACCATGTTGTTCGAAAATACTGAAACTGTACCCTCTATTTCCAGGAATTACCGTCACTTTTTTTTCACCTTCTAAAAAAGCTTCTATATCTCGACATATATAGACATTTTCGAAGCATTTTAAAAGAGGATAGGATAGAAAAGATGTTGAATTTTATGATTTTGTACTTTATATGGAAATATGAGACATGAGATTTAATATGATTTGATTGCAAGTTGAAATTTTTGATTTTTATAATATAGCATTTTTATGATATAAAGAGTGTTTTTATGATAAAATTTTTGCTCAAAAACAAAAATTTTGGTAAAACGGTAATTCCTGGCTGACGTTAAAATATGCTTTGTTCTCCACTAAAAATACTATTTAATGATATAAAAATCAATTATTTTGTGTATTCATAGACTTTTTTGTTGAAACTTCGAACGCATGAAAACTACTATTAGAATAGATTAGATTGAAAATAAACAGCGGAAACAAACTCAGCACATTTTATATGATTTAGTGCTGTGACAAAAGTATATCATTCACACTCAAAGGAAAATCTGATTATCCCAATAAAATAGAAATAAATCAATAAAAAGCATAATAGATGTATTCTATTTGGATGATGATACTATATCATTTATCAAATTTTGAAAATATTTATTTTTCACGAATTCGAACCGAAACAAGACTTCAAACTCGTCAAAATTTTAAAAAATGAATATTTATCAAAATAAATGCAGGATTTGTTGATTATGTCATTAATACTCCATTCTTTTAGTAAATACATGTGCATTAGCCTTTTCCTCGCAAAAGATTGAAATAGATTTTTCAATTTATTCGGATTAAAATATATTTTTCGTTTATTCATATCTATGTAAATACATTAAACATCATAACACTTTGAAATACTATTGTTTTAGTAATCAATTTCTTATCCTTATCATTTCTACAATTGGTATTATTCACTTCATAATATAAGAGTTCTAAAAATGTCAAAAAGTATTCATTTTAGGAATAAAAGACTTAATTTAAATTTAATATAATTATTTTTATATCTATACAAACAAATTGTGAGAACATTCAGGTGGCCCCATAAGTAATAACATATCAGTATTTTGATATGATACCTCATATATAAGGTATGATTAGAAAGCTGAAATCAGCTTTTTCAATTTTTCATCAGTGAAAATGTTTTATACCTTATACCTATTAAAATAGCCTAATTTCAGTCCCCTCCCTCTTGCATTCGTTGAGATAAGGAGATTTGAAATTATGCAATTTCGACGCCGTTACCCTCTCCATTTGCCACAAAAATGTAAGGGATATATAACACTGTTGTATAAATTAATATTTTCTTGTTATTTTTTAAAAATAATACTTCAATCATGCTAAAATTGAATTTTTTTGATGCACAAAATAACCTTAAACGGTAATTCCTGGAAATAGAGGGTATTAATTGAGCAATGTAGTTCAAGGGTGAGAATCTTTTAACAAAAATGATATATATCGAACAAATTAGAGTTTTCGATTTTGAAACTTTCATTAGAAGAGAATGAAATATTAGATTATGAAGAGTTAGAAATGTTTACTAAAGTTTGTAAAAAAAGAGAAAGTCTATTAACATAAGAAATACTTTTTTTGATAATTGCAAATTCTGCTTGGCAATTACCAGTTGAAAAATGAATCAATTTGTTAGTAAATAGTTCTCTTGGATTAGTAGGTTTTACATTTCTATAAAATGTATTTGAAATCGAATTGTCAATGTAACAACTATCAACTGTTAATTGATCTTGATTGTTATATATCAAATATGAACCTTGAGGAGCAGTGTTGTTAATAAAAGAACAACTTTTTACAGTAAGAGAATTTTTATAATGGAAAATAATTCCATAATATGATTTTGTTATGGTATTATTTATAATATTACATGAATCAATCAATGCGTAATTCCAAATATCTAGAATCATAGTACTTGTTGCTAAATTATTAACAACAGTTGTATAGTTATATTTTGTTGTGTATTTTTCTAAAGGACTTTTAAGCCAACCAGCAGGTCCCCAAGATGCTTTGCATGATGAGAAATTTGTTGATGAAACTATGATATTATCACGTTCTGCATTTATAGAGTAACCAAAACTTTCTTTTCCTACATCGAAAAGGGAACTTTCAATAATAAAGTTTAAGTTATCTTTGTCAACATATGTATATGAAAAATGTGCTCCACTTTGGCTTTGGCATTTTGTACAACAGAACTTTCGTTGAACAATCGAACTATTACTCCCAATTTTGAAGAAAATGCAACTTCCGCTCTCTGTTGAAGTGCAGTTACTAAAAGAGCACCGATTATGTAGGAATAAAGAGTTTTTAATTGGATCAAAAGTGATAACTCTGTTATTATCATCAAAAAAATTGCACTCATCTAAGTAATATTGACCTCTTCCTGCTGGTAGATTACAATTTTGGCAATATTTAGTTTGTTCTCCTACAAATTCATTTGCAAAGTAAGTGCTCCATGAAAATCCATCAGAAATTTGTCAAAATTGAAAAATTGGAAGTCCTCTAAATTATAACACGATATCCATATAGAAAGAACTTTTGTCAATAGTTCTCAACACTTTTATATCTAAAACTCGTTCAAATTGATGTTTAAAAGAGAGATTCAATTACAGTATACGGAAAATTTGGGTCTTAAGCTCACTTTTGGTCTTATTTTTTGACAGGGTGGGCCGCATAAATATCTGTGAAATGAACTTCGTATGAAATTGAGGTGTAGTCTAACTGTTAAAACCGCCGGATTGGCTTTGTTTTTGGGGTTCCGAGTTCGAATTAAGTGCCACGCATTTCTTTTTTTCTTTTTTTTATACTTGAAAAATAAATAGAAGATTGCTATTAGTAAGAAACAAGTAAACTGTTTTTAGTCATATATATTGAATAAATTAAATTTTCTAATAATAATTTTGTGAATTTGACTCAAATTTATTAATATGAATCAATTGGATGTTCTCAAGTTCACTATTCATACCAAGAGACTTAGTCAATCTTGGTATAACTGAATTATCCATATCAAAACATTTAAATTTTCAGAATTGTTCTATATTGTTATAGGTGGAAGAGCGATTACAAACAAAAATGTATTTTAAGATAGGTAGATACAAATAGACTGTAAATTATAAAAAACATAAAACAATATTCTAAAAAATTTTTATTCTTATGAAAATATTGATTGGTTATAACATGTATCTAATGGTCTGTTTGAATCTCATATAAAGCAAAATTGAAAATTATTGAGAATAATATCCAAATATAATATTATTTTTAATTTGAGATACAACTATGGTAATTATGTATTATAATGATATTTGTTGTAAGTTCTTATGTTTGTATGATCATAAATCAAAAATATAAGAATTTTTTGTTAATTTCTTCGGCAATCCATTATTTAAGCTTCAAATATCTATTGTCACATGCTAACATACATGAAACTAATTAAATGGGTATATCGTAAATAAGTTATTATGAATAAATAGAGAAATTGAGGTGATTGTTTTGCAATTTTGAATTTTACTAACGCTTATGTTGAAATGTGATGTTATTCACATAATACCAGATCTCATGATTATAATAATAAAAATAATTTGAACAATAAATGAGATTGGTATTAAAAATTGGATTTTGACACAAAGCTGCATAATCAACTTATATACATAAGAATATTAAGCGATTAACAATATTTCTTTCTCAAAATTGTTTAAAATTTAAAGATCAAAGTTCAAATATTTCGAATTTAGGATTAGAAAATCTTATAACTGTTTTGTAATTTGATTGTAATATAACCAAAAAGATTATTTTACAAAAATATGAGTATTTAAATACGAAATATATTATTCATGGATCAAATTCCAAATTGATTCTTATTAAAATAATTCTTGGGGATAATACAATTTATTGATATAATGAAAAAAGAAAAAATAAGATGTATTCGGATTCGAACCTGGTTTTTCTGACCCCAAAAATAAAGCAGGTTAGCAAATGAACCTCATAATTATTTCATATAATTTTTATTTTTAGCTATAAGATTTTTCCTCAAACTTGCTTACCTGCAAATATACCTTCAGCTTCATAATTGATCAAAACTTACAAGGTCAAAGAGTAGCTTAATACTGCACATTTCAATATACTGTTTACTTCATTTTCAAATATTATTACATATTGTTCAATTAACGATTTTTTCACAGATGACTTTACTAACAAAACTGACCCATTCGTATCGCTCATTACCAACTCACAAAGTCGAAAACACAAGTTTCTGCGTCCACAGAGCATATGATTTAATAACGGATATCATTTTTAAATAAATGTGTATCTATTAACGAGCATTTTCATTAAATCTCATACAACAGAGAAAGAATACGAGTATAATATGGTCAGAGAGACTTGTGTCAGATTTTGAATTTTGTAGATTTCAACACAGTATCTCAATTTTGCATACTAAGATATGCACCTCTACAAATGCTTTTCATATCCACTCCGACTTCAAGCGTAAATACTTCCCATCTCTTACAATCATTACTTTTTTCGAACTCCCTAAAAATTTTTTTTAAAAAAATTTTATTTTTTGACACTTTGCAAAATCTTAATCTACATAGTATATAGACGCTGTGTTTTTGCAAGTTTTTTTGCCAAAGTATTCAAAATTCTGGGAATTTTGCGGTTAAAAATAAGACCCAAAATGATTTTAAGACCCACTTTTTCCGTATACTGTTAAATTTACAGATTTATATTTTTTTATTATATATTTCAATCGAAAACGCTCATCATGACTCGTTTTCTTATTAATATAAATAGAGATAGTGACATTATACCAACAATTAATGATGCAACCAATCGCTCTATCATCAATTTAACGAAATGAATGTTGTAGAAATCGAGGAAAGCAGGGATTCCTCCTTTCAAATAAGCTTTGACCATCAGTTGAGTATATCTAACAAATCTAATGAAAATTGATATTTTGAAGCTATCTTCACTTTCAGACAAAAGATGTTCGATTTGATAGACATCTTCAATCTGAAAAGCCAATTTAATACGAGCAGTATTTCTTGTTAGTAAGTCATAATGGTGTAAATTGTTTTTCAATGCAAATAAGTCTTCATCTTTTGATGGAAATCCTAAATATTTTTGAAAATCTTTGTAATATCGATTCAAACCTTTTGGACAGAACTTAGACTTAGTATATAACAATAAATATTTACCGGCATTATTATAATTGTTTGAGTAAAGGTAAAATGCCAAATTTGGTATCAAATCAATGTTATCTTTGATATTTCGAGAGATTTCTTTGGAAAGAGCTTTCAAATATGGACTATCTTGATTGGAGGCAAGGAAAGCATCTGCATAGAGTTCCTTTATTTGATTTTCTTTTATTAATTTAAGAGCTAAATCTTCGTCAATGGAAAGTACTTCTTTTACAAAATGGTATCGACCTTCTGAGTCAGTAGCACAAATTTTATATAGTTCTTCACTTGGTTTTTGAGTTTTATCATGAATTCCTTTGATTATTTCAAGAATATTTTTAGGAATCGTATTTGATTTAAGATATTTCTGATATCTGTAGCCATCTTGTGGTAAAATGAATAGATCTGTTAAATTCTTATGTGTGGCCTTTGTTGGAGGGAAATATTCGGTGATTTTAATTAAATTTTCGTAAAGTGAATAATCTGGTGCATCAGCAGTGCGAATTATTGAATATAATATCGTGTCGGATTCTGCTCGAATGAATGCTGCTTTTAGAGGATCTTTTTCAGTAAATAAACCAATTTCGTAAAAATAAGCAAGGAAATCACCACATAAGTCTAGACCTTCTTGATAACATTCTTGCATTAACTTAAATGGTAAATCTCCTGCAGCTTCGTGGTGAACTTCGAAAGTATAATATTCTGCAACAATGAACTTTGCTGTAGTAGTATTTAGTCTTTCTAGTATGTATAACTTATCTTTAAATGAATCTACGCTTGAAGTAACATTTAATAAAAATTTTTTCTCTTCTTCTGTACTACTGTTGAAATCCCAGAAGTTTTCTACAGTAGGTCCATTTTTTCGATGTTGTAGAGTGAGATATCTTGGTTTTGTCTGTATATATGAAAGATAAAGTACTGTAAACAACATCGAATTTCAAAAAAAAATTTCAATATTTTTTTCAAAAAAGTGACAAAATATTTGATTTTACTCTGGAAGTGTTTTTCCATTAAAAATATCCCGTTTCCTATAGAGATTTCATTTAATGAATCATCAAACTGTAGATATAGACATATTTGTCTTGATGATTTGTTGATTAAAAGAAATTTAGAAAATTTTGAAATAATAGAATTTTATTTTTTTATTTTAAACATTAATGCCTGATCCGGAATCTGATGGGATAGAATCAGAATAATCATCATCAGGTAACTGAGCTGGTTGAGGGGCAGGTTGTGGCTTTTCTTCAACTGGAGCTGGTTTCTGAGGAGCTGGATTGCTGACAAGTTGTTGGTTAGTTGATGGCTGGTATTCGGATCTTGAAACAGTAACTCCAGAGCCAGATGAGTCACGATCTGGAACGGATTTGTTCAAGCAAGCAACGACAACAATGCAAATGATAACAAGAACAATAACGATAGCGCAGATAATGATGAAAGCGACAATACCATGGAAGAGTTTTAATGGTCTTCTGTTTGCAGCGTACATTGCGACCTTAAATTCATTTTGTGCATTTGAATCTTTTGGAATATTGTACTTGAGATTAGCGTTGATTGAATTTTCAGAAACGCTGTTTTCATTTTGAGCTTGTAAATTAATTTTGTTGGATTCTTCAATTGGAATGTTCTTTACTGGTGCAATTTCTTGGAGAGGGTTCTTCCTATTAAGGATCGCAGCTGCCTGCTGGCAGAAGAATAAAGAAAACATCATTAACTGTGAAAAAAATGAAGTTCTAAGAAAATTTTATATAAAATTCTAAAATTATTATCGATTAAAAACGCTGAGTTAGAAGAATAGATAAATACTTGATCGTTTAATGTTTATGTACTCAATTGAAATTATGAACGATCAGGATAACTCAATTTTATCAATATTTTATTAATTATTAGCTTATATGATCATATTGCTCAATAATTAAATAAATATTGATTGATAATTGAATAGTTTATGTAAATAATTTTGATAGAGCACGATCAGCATATTCAAATTTAAGTTGATCAATTTTCTTTCAAATTGATAATGAGCCATATTTTATTCATTTAGTTTGTCCATCTAAAATATAATAACTTTGGTCGACCAAATATTTAATCGTCCTATAATGACGATAAAATATATTTTCTGAACATTGCTTCATATATCGAAATCACTGAGCGTCTGACTAATAACAGCTTAACTTTTTATTGGATTTACTTTAATTTGCACTATCGAGAAATTGTTATTGAAAAATTACGATCTGTCTGCTTCATGAATTTGATAAAACATTCATTCTTTTAAAAATGCTCAATAGCCATCAATTCTTATAATAAAGATGCTTAGTACATTAATTCTTTGAATTATGGCATAACACAATTGCTTGATGTCAAGTTGTGATTTGATTCTCCATATTTTCTTGCTTTTATAAAGCTGTAATTCCTACAAATGTATCAGTGCAGTATTATATAGAAGAATTGCTTCTATGGGTTGACAAATTATGTTTTTCAAAATTTCATATAAATGAATTATAAGTACCCATGAAAAAGTTTGAAACCTTGTAATAACAGCCTTGCAAAATAGAAAGTTTATGATGAGTTTTCTCAATAGAACACAAAAAGCAACAGAGAATGATTTATGAATTGGAATAACACGTACTGATCGATAAATTTTCAAAGTTGATGTTATTAGTTAACCTTTTGATGAGAATGTTAATAATAGGATTGAAATTAAAATCACAGATCTGAAAATCATTATTTATGATTCTTTATCAACTGTCGTTTTATTACGCCTGAACTAATATTAATTACAAGCAATTTATTTTCTAATTTTGAAAGAATATTTGTGAGATTTTTGAAAAATAGCAATTGACTCAACATGTCAATACCATAGTAGGTAATTTATTTAAACTAAGCAAAATAGTTGAATTTTTGTTTAGATTTTCGCTGATCATTTGTAAACGCGAAAAATGATTCGAAATAAAAGGTACATTCACTAGGCGATAACAGTAAAATGGGATGAAAATAGGATAAATAGCATCCCTATATAGTGCCTAACAATATTTATACGGGCCAAAAAAATTTGGCTAGAGATTTGGCGAGTTAGAAAATTTAGAAAATTGAGAGGGATTTTTATTTTTGAATTTTTTTTGGAAAGTTAAAATTGCGATTAAAAATCGATTTCCAGGAGAACTAAGCATCTCATCATATATTTAAATCGATAAAAATATTAAATAATAGTTGAATAGTATAACAACGTGAAATTATGGCTGAATCTACAGAAAAAATGAACATATTTGACATTTTTGAAAATTCATACGTTAGATGGTGACAGACTCATAAACGATACTTTAGCTAAGATTGATATATGGTTTCAACAACACATGGTTAAAATCGTAAAAATATTTTAGATTTCAAAAAGATATATATGGTAATATAATGGAACAAAGTCAACAAATAGCATGTTAAATATGTTATAATTAACTTTTTATTAGATCCAATAGTAGATATCGAATGGTTTCCAGCTTTATGGTTAAATATTTTCTTTTCGAGCTTCTCTTTAACTGTTGTATTAAGGTTGTAAATTTTTGATGCTAGAAACTATGGAATCTTCTTTGCTGCTGCATTTTTCTTGAGAGTTCTTGCAATTTCGAATAGATCTGCGCATTGTATGAAATGGAGGCTTTAAAATATCTTGAAAACAGAATAGGACTGCTTTTCCAAAGGAATGCTTACTTGTAAATCAGAGAGTTTCAAAATTGAGATCAAGATTATCATCATAACTTTCGATTTTACTGCGAAAAAGGAAGACAAGTAATTAACAAATCATTTACTGTTGTTCATCAAAAGAAGAAAACTTTGATAACAACTAATGATGATAAAATCAAGCTATCTTTTAATATTTTAAATTGATAAGACATTCAAAATATTTGAATGGTTTAAAATATTTTCTTTTAATTTCTATAAGATATTATCATGATTATATAATAAAATTTAAATTTTTATTCAAAAAGGCAATATTTCAAACTTTTAATTTCAAAAATCTTAATTCTGCAATAAGTGTATTTAATTGTAGCAAATTTAATGATCTTTCGTCATGCTTAGCAATTTGGAACTCATAAATTAATGATTTCTTCAAAAGTCAATAATTCTCTAGTAACTTTTCTTCAAACCCTAACCATTATATTATAGGTATAATGGAGAATAATTGCAAAGAAAGATAGCCGAATTTACTGGGTAGTTCTTGTGATGCGAAATAATTGCAAATTAACACCTAGTTTTAACAGCATCAATCTCTTTTTGCTCTCATTTAAATGCATTCGCACACTTTAATTTTGAAATATAAGAGTTTTGGAAATTATCAAATTTATCTGCTCAAATACTATAGATCTTCATAAGTGTTAATAGAATCATTAGCCTTACATATAGTGTTTAATATAATGATGCACATTATACTGGGATTCATTCCTTATTCATCTAGTTATTATAAGATTTACAACTCCATGAAAATTTAAAATTTTGTCAAAAATAGTGAATGTACCTTTTCGAAATGATGTTGTTAATAATAATGTTTCGTAATAAATTTTAATATTTATTGCCAAGAATGCCTGTAATTCTAAAAATATTTTACGATTAATTAGTTGTTCTCCATTTTCCGAAAATATTATAAAATTAGAATTATTTGCGAGTACTAACTTAAATTTTCTTGTTTAATATATTTAAGGGTGGCTTCCGACCAAACTGTCACTTTTTGGCCCAAGTGAGAAAATTTCGTAATTTATAACCAAGTTTTTTAAAATCTATATTTAATAAAGATTCTATTTTTCTTATTAAATTTCAAAAATGAGGGGGTTCGGAATCGTCCACAAATTGCCGAAAGGGTTTTTGCCAGTTTTGAATCCGCTTATTTTTATCGACCAAAATTATAATAAATATAATTTTCGATAAGTATTCTACCCAAATGATTCTTCAAAAAATATAGAGGAGCTTTATGAATAACTCAAAATCCGGGAAACTCAATATTCAACGAGAAAAACGCTTAACGAATCTCACTTTTGGTGTAAACATCACAAAAAATTGAGAGAGCTTTCTGGTCGGAAGCCTCCCTTAACGATCACGAATCAATTCATTTTTGCCAACATTCAATAATCTGCTTTTATTTGTTGAATCCTTGTATTATTTATTAGGTATTATATTTTTCATGTCACCTTTGATAATACAAAATTTGAGACTATTCAATCGAAATTGAAATTTCAATAATGATGATTTCGATAACTAATTTAATTCTCAATTATATGCTAATAATAAACTATACAACATCATGTATTACCATTTCAAAACATTTCAATTATAATTTTATTTCAAACAATGGAATCTCACGAAGCTAACTGGGGATGCAAATACTATGGAAAAGATTTCGAAGTGAAAGTAGGCAATCTTAATTTGATTGGACAGTCCTATGAAGATGTACAAGGCGAACCGCGCCTTATTTATGTTTTCGTTCATGGATTAGGTGTTTCTCTAACATTTAAGCATGATTTCTATCCAATTGTTAATAGTATGGGAGGTGTTGCATTCGCTTGTGATCATATTGGTCACGGAAGATCTCCAGGCGATAGAGTTTCTTGCCAAATCCCTGAAATTGTCGAGGAAACACAAAAGGTTATTCAACTTGCAAAAGAAAAATATCCAAACTTACCAGTAATTCTTCACGGCCACTCCATGGGAGGACTCACTGTTGTTTCTTTAGCTATGAATCATCCAGATTTTGTCAGAGACAATATTAAAGCAATGATTGTCGAATGCCCATGGATTTCACAATGCCCACAAAAACCAGTAGGATGGTTTACAAGAAACGCTGTTAAGTTGATTTCGAAATGCTTCTCAACAATGAGAATAGAAAGTGGTGTTGCTTCAGTCTGCGAATATGAAGAAGAGAGCTGGAGGAACATGCACCTTCAAGACGAGTACAGATATTCTTTCTTGACACCTAGATTATTTACATCTGTTGAAAACGAAAAGATATACGTAAATGCCAATCCTGATAAGTTCCCCAAGGATGTTCCAACATTATTCCTTCAGGGAAAGAAAGATATTTTAGTTCATCCAGAACAAAACATTGATTGGATGCAGAAAGTTATTAATGCTTCACCTGATGCTCCATTCTCTTACAAATCATACGAAATTGGATCACATGTTCTCTTGAAATGCAAATGCAGGAAGCAGGTCATTGATGATATATTCGAGTTCATCAATAAATATATAAATCCTGCACAGTAATCCGGCTTATGTAGTATATCTAAAAAAATGAATTTAATTTTTAATATTTTTATTCTTTTACAAAACAATTAGAAGAAGTGATCTTATTGCCAAATAATCGCTTGCAGATGTCTTGTTTAGTTATTATTACATTTATTTCAATAATGAATTTTAAGATTTTCATTTATTAATAGAATTGGAATTTAAATTATGTAAATCCGATATCGTTCAGCGGTTAGGATATGTGGTTTTCATCCACAGGATCGGGGTTCGATTCCCCGTATCGGAAAAAATTTTAATTTTTTTTTTCAGTTGCTCCGGCAACTTATGATAAAAAAGCCTAACTGTAAAAGAATTTTATGAAAACATAAATAGCATAGATCAAATAGAAATAAATTTTTATAGTATGATTATTAAAAGGTAAAATTAACATTTCAAGATTGAATCTTCCTTGAATTAAAACTTGGCAATTCTGACGTCGAGGAGGATCTGTTGAGCTCTTTGGAGAGCATCAACAATCTGGCGGCATGAAATTCTCTTCTTTGTAATTGAAGGATCTTCTTGAACGAGTTGCAAACTGTCGGCTGCGTTGAAGACATCCTTAATCATTGCTGGTCTGAGCATGTCGGATGACTTCTGAACGATCAAGTGGATGATTGTTTTTGGAATGACATCTTTAATTTGTTCACTGATGATGTTAAAGTAGTCTTGGGCAGAGACCTGTAGTTCTCTGAGTTCTTCTCCTTGGTGCTGAGTGTAATTCTTTGAGCTTCCGAAGAGTGTTGAAATTGAACATGGATCTAAGATCGGAGGCCTTACAGGAAGAGGTCTTTCTCTTAAATTCTTTGCCTTATGAGCGAACAATCTCTCATTTCCTCTGAAATCTGGTCTCTTGTTGTTAATAAATGATCTTTCAGCATCAATGAGGTCGTTAATGAATTGCCTGCATTCTGGGATGCATCTTCTGATGCAATCATCGACAACTGCTCTGATGGCGCCATCGAGAACGTTGAATCTGTCTAATTCCATAAATTTGACTTCGGTGTGGAGATCAAAGAGAATTTCAACGACATCGTCAATGGCTGCAAGAGAAGGTTCTTTAAATTGGTCAATAATATGAGCGCAGATGTGATCGTAAGCGTCATTTGGAGTAAAGATAGGAACAGCAATTCCTGTATGGTTCTTGATTTGATTGTAGAGGCTCTTGATCTCGACTCCATTCAGACCTGGGAGTGAATCAATCTTCGTATTGAATTTATCAGCGAATAAAGTTGCGATACGACCGCCATGAGCATTTTTAGCTTCTTTTCCATCACAACCTCTTCCATTGAGATAGTTATTGAATATTTCGAGGTATTTCGAAATAACATCCAATATGAAGGCGTTTAATGTTGCATTATTATGGGTTGGATCAGAACCATAGCCTTCAAGCTCTTTAAGCTTGTCCTCAAGCATTGTCTGGATCTTATGGCGTAAAGCAGGCATTGATGTCCTGATGTGGTCCATAAGTAATCTATTAAGGACAGTTGTAAGATACTTAGTACCGCAGTGATCCGCAAGGTCTGAGTAGTCACGATGATTTTCGAAGAACTCTCTTTCTAATTGCCTTGCTTTTTCCATTGGCATTTTTGTATTAATTGCTTGTTGAGATCTGTTAACAACCCCGATGTAACCGAGCTTGAGTGGGTATATGCGATTTTCAAGGACTTCTCTTGCATTTGTTCCTTTGTCCATGATATCAATCTTTGTTATGACACCAATTGTTCTATCACCCTTTGGATCGACTTCTCTAGCAAGTCTCAATGCATCTGAGTTTGCGATATCTGCATTTGCTGGAGTAACTGCGAGAATTAAGCATTCAGGTTTGTCAACGAAAGATTTAACCATGTCATGGATATCTTGGACAATCGATGCTGGTTGTCCATCAATAGCAACTTTAACAAGACCAGGTAAATCGACTAATGTAAGGTTGAGAACATTTGCCGACCAAAGTTTTAATCTGATTGGATCTTTGGAAACATTTCTTCCTGAACCAGTAACTCTATCTGTTTCTTTGATAATTTCGTCGTTTATTTTGTTGAAATCTGTGAAAATCTCGCCTGGCTTATGAGCAAATTCTCCATACTCTTGTGGCTTTCCTTTTTCTGGAGCCTTGTCAAGATGGACAAGCTGTAAAATAAGAGGACGACGTGTGACAATGCCAGAACCACGTGGCAAGAAATCACGTCCTACGACAGCCTCTAAAACTGAGGATTTACCTGAACTTTGGCTACCAACAACAGCTATTTGTGGAAGCGATATGACATCGGAGCCAACTGTGGAAAAAACATCTTGGAGACTGTTAATAATAGGAATTAAATCCTCCATTTTTTTTAATTGAATTATGTCAAAATATATAAAAGTGACGAGTCGGCTCTTCATCGGGGATTGCAGCCGTTTCTATTGATGTTAAAAATAGCTCTGATATTGATTAAAGAATATTTCTATTTAGTTATTTTTGAAAAACGAGATAGGCAAACTTTCTTCCATCAATTGTCAGTAGTAGGATAGGATGGGTTTTGTGACTTTTTTTGTTACATCTATATATAGACGATGCATTAAAATATATTTATAAATCATTTTAAAATTAAATTTATTTTTTTATTTTTTTAATTCGTAAGAAAATGAGTATAACAACTAATTCATTGAAATCTTTAAAGTTCACTAATTCAGAATTAGAAAATATTTTAGAAAATTTTGGAGACGGTTCTTATCCAACATATATGCAGAATGTGAAAGAGTTTTCCAGATTGTTGAATGAATTTAAATATAACGGACCAATTACTAAAAAGGCTATAATGAGATATTTATATCCCAAAAAAGTTGAAAAACAGGAGAATATTCCTCTTTATGGTCCAGAGGACCTGGGCTCAGAGAGCCTTGAAACACCTCCTGAATATTTTGAAGAAAAAATTAAACAAGATGAATATTATAACGATGAGATTGAGAAATTGGAACAATTAAGAAATGAAATAGATGAAAAAATTAAGGAATTAAGAAATGCTGAGAATGAAGTAGAGGGTTTAATGAATATCCCAGCTTCAGAATCAGAAGTTCAAAAATCACATGAGGAAAGATATAAAAATTACTTTTTGGAATCTACTAAAAATTTATTAGATGGTGATATTGACGAAACACTTTCAGAAGAAGGCACAAAATTTATTCATAAACATAAGTTACAATTTATTGACGATGGAGATTATCCATGTATATCACTTTCACCACCTTTAGATTCTGAGAAATTCAAAAAAGCACTGAAAAATGTAACATATGCAACAAATACGATTAAGAAAGAAGACCATGATATTTACACAAATTATTATTTAAATAAATGCACAGGTGTTGATAAAGTTTTTGATTTATTAGATAAAATATCAAAAGAAACCATTGGAACCTATAAAATTTTGTGTGATTGTGGTTTCATTATTGAAGATACCAATAATGTTTCATATGAAAGAACAGCACCGAAGGAAGACGAAGTGGAAAGGTCTATACCATTCGTTATTAAGAATATAAAAGATATGAAAACGTATAAGCATTATATTTATTCATTTATTTCAGAAAAAATGGAAGCAACCACATAAACATCATCTCATCATTTTATAGCTATTCATACATTCCTTTTCAAAGTTGTGAAATTAAATAAGACAGGAATTAGATTTAATGTATCAGGGTACGCATTCTTGAGTAAATTAAAATGTATTCGTCACGTCGCAGATGATAAAAATTTATGTGTTCTTAATTCATTTTATGGACTTTAGCCCTGGACTCTCTGAGTCTCGGACTTTAAAAAAAATAAACTTTATTTTTATTCTTACATAAATGAACAAAAATGGAACAGCTAAAATGAATGATAATCAAATAAGAGCCGAAGGTAGAAGGTTATTTAAACGCTTCTATAACATTCCTGATGGTGTTAATCCTAAAACTCGTAGAAGTTATTTAAATGAAGCCATAGATGCATATGAAGGATTTGACATTTCATCAGAAAGTGAGAGGTTAGCAAGAATGTTAAATGTTAATATTGATTTCTATTATTGTGATCCTCAACCAGAAGACGTAGACATTAACAAGGTAGACTTTCCATTAGTGGAATCAATAATGATAGATCCAGAATTTGAAACAGTAAATATTTTATTAACACAGAGTCCATGTGGAAAACTTCACGCTGACAGAATAACAGACGTTGAAGCACTCACAGGATATAAAGTTTGCCCCTTTTGCAAAGAAGAAGTATATTCTATCCGTGATGATCCAGAAAGGAAAAACCAAAGAAGATTTTTAAAACATTGTGAGAAATGTAAAGAAAATAATGGAAGATTAATTCAAGACGTTCAATTGCAAAACACACAACAACCATATGCACCACATATTACGAAACAGAAGATATATCAATGGCTATTAGCACATAATTTGCAGGAATATTATAAACCAACAAGATATTATATTACTTTTGACTTCGAAACATTAGAGACTAAAGAAGAATTACAACTTTCTGAGTGTGCAACTTTAAACGCTTACTTAAAACCATTCATGGTATCATCAACGGTTAAATTAAACGATAAAACATATACGAGGAATTTTTGCTTAACTTCGAGTGATTCTTTTATTTCTGATTGGATTGAGTTTTTATTTTCAACCTGTTCATTAGTTGCTAAATCAAATATTGAACAATATGAAGAATTAATGAAGTCGCAAACGGACCAAACGGCGGGGACTTTGTCTCATACATTAAATGAGAAACAAAAGGAAGCAATGAAAGAGCTTTTAGATGAAGAATTTAATAAAGTGAATATCATTGGTTTTAATTCGGGAAAGTTTGATTTAAATTTAATTCTTCGTGATTTAAATACTGCAAAATGGAAGATAAAATCAATGCTGGGTTCTTCTTCTCAATTTAAGCAAGTCATAGTAAAGAAAACAAACTGTCCATATGAATTAAGATTTATTGACATCAGAAATTATATAGCGGGTGGAACATTAGACCAATTCACTCAAGATTTCGGAAACAATAAATCACGTGTTAAATCCTTTTTCCCTTATCAATTCATCACATGGGAGAATTACGAAGATGAATTATATAAAAAGGAACCATTCACTCAAGATTCATTTTATTCAGCATTAACACAAGAAACAATATCCGATTCAGATTATCAAATATATCTCAATGATGCTAAAAACTTTAAGAATAGATTAGAATATTTTATTCATTATTGCAATAAAGATGTTGAAATTATGATTGACCCAATCGATAAAATTATTGAAGAAACATTTGTTTATAAAATTGACATGCTTCATAATCTTTCTTTATCATCGAATGCTTCAATGATTCGTTACGCTTTAGCATATAAAGACTTTAATCCTAATGAAAAATATCCTGAGGAAGAGATAGAATCAAGTTTTGAATTAACAAAAAAGTATTGGAAATATAAAATTGAATCATATAAGAAACAAGATAAAAAAGCAGAAAGGGATACTAAAAACAATGTTTCAATGGATGACTATCAATACTATCACGATTTAATCCTTTCATCTAAATGCAAAATGTGTGGTAAAGCGTTTACATATGCAAATAAACCAACATTGGATAGAATAGATAATGAAAAACCACATACCAAAGAAAATTGTCAGTTAATGTGTTGTTATTGCAATGTCGTAAAATCAAATAAAGATGAAGATGTTCAACGTTTAAGAATCAATTTAAGAAATTATGCATTAAAAAATAATTTACCAATGACTTTAGATTCAGTTGAAGCTTATCACATTCTCCGTAATGGAATTACTGGTGGTTTATCAAATGTTCAACATAGAGTAAATCTTAAAGGAATCACGCACATTAATAAACTTGCATATAATCCAGAAACTAAAACTGTATCAAATGAGGACACCACCAACATTATGACTCATTTCGTTGGTGTTGATTTTAATTCATTATATCCTTCATCATTTTCATCTAATCCCCATGATTTCATTCAATATACTGACCATAAAATGTATATGCCGGGAAGATTGAATGGTGTTATCATTTGTGATACAGCAACAAAGAAAGCAAAAGCACTGGGAATAATTAAGAAGAAAAATACTTTATTCGTGGCTGAAGTAAAGGGTCACATTGATGAAAAATACATTAATGATTACATAAACTTTTTACCGATAATAAGAAACTTAGATATTATCACAGATGAAAAAACAATTGGCAGTTTTATGTATAATTCCATGAAATCAAACAATCTACCGGTTGACCAGAAACAGAGGAAATTAACTCAGTTAGCATCAACATACAACCAATATCAACCATTTTCTTCTTATTATCTTTGGTATCTAATAGACAGATTTCATTTTATCATTGATGATATTCAATCAATTTTAACATTTACGAAAAACACTTGCTTTAATGAATTTGCGAAAGAATTTATGAACGAAAGACAAAAGGCTGAATTAGAAGGAAATAAAGGAAAAAGTTTATTTTGCAAGATTTCGCTTAATGGATCATATGGTTACGATGCAATGAATACACAAAATTACGCAAAGACTAAAATAATGAATGCACAGAAGTCACGCGTTGCATGTATGTCAAATAAGTTTAAAAACATAAGAGAAATAGGTGAAGATACATATCAAGTGATGCTTAAAGATAGATTTTATAGATGTGATACATGTTTACAAGAGGCATTCTTCACTTTAGATAATGCTAAATACTGGTATTTGGTTTTCATTTATGATTTTATGTATAAATGCATGGATGTTAATCGTTTTCATTTCATTGAAGGTGATACTGATTCATCTTATTGGGCAATCGCTGGCGACCCAAATCTTCCTAACACTCAAGCATTTCAAGCAATTGTTACCGATAAACAATTTTATGATAAAAACATTTTCAAATTCGCACCTTTTGATTTCTTCTGTTTTGATGAGAAATTTAAACCTAAATTAAAGAATAAAGCTGAAGAAAAAGCACATGAGAAGAAGTTATTGGGTTTAGCAATTGAGAAACAAGGCGATAACATGGTTGCTTTATGTCCTAAGTGTTATACATCATTCAATGGTTCAATTGATGGAAGTGATTTTAAAAAGATTGCACAAAAAATGAAAGGTGTTAGTTTACGACAAAATAAACAATTAACACCTAAAAATTATTTGGATATAATAAATGATAAATTGATATTTGATGGTCAAAATATTAATTTACAACTTAAAAACGGGTCAATGACTCGCTTAACAATTGGTAAGACTGCATTAACAGGAGCACACACTAAGGCTGTATGTTGTGAAAATGGATGTTGTATGCCATTTATTTAATAAAATACCACAGAAGAGACAAAAGGAACCGTTAATGATGGTTTTGATACTATGATTCAAAGAGGTGGGCACCCTTAAAACATTGATTTTATTTTTATATAAATGAATAACACAGATTTAAAAATTTTAATTGATGATTTAGTATTTAATCAAAATTTTCTTAATTATTATGATTTAAAAGCATATCTCCAAAAATATAATAATAATATAACGGGTGATGATATGGAATATTATTATCCATATTATAAAAATGAAATTTTGAAATATCATAATAAAATAATTTCTGAAATTAAAGACAAAATTAAAAATAATGAATATATAAAGGGAAAAACTAAATCACAACTTAAACAGTTAAAAGATTTCAAAAATAAAGTATTAACAGAAGAAGATATTGATGAATTATATAAATTATATAATCCCGAGCCGCAAAAACAAAAGGAACAAAACGCCCAGGTCCTTCAGACCATAAATGAAGCACAAGCTTTAATTTATGATTCATTAGTTAAACCATATTCAGCCCGACTTTTAAATGAAGATCAACTTTTGGAATTCATCCTTCAACATAAACTCGAAGCGGGAAAGTATATCAAACCTTTATATACAGCATATTTAAAACAAATGAATAGAATACATCCAGAATTAATGAAAGGAGGAATGAATTCCAAAATCAAAGCAGATAAAATTAAACCACTTGCAACACCAAAACCTCCAACGACAGTACCGCCTCCTCCTTCAGTTAATCCTTCATCATTCACTTTATTATATCCATTTCAAACATTAAAGAAGCAAAAAGATTTTAAAAAGGGTTTCAAGATATTAAATAAACCAATTGACCCAAAAATTCAACCGTTAAAGGAAAAATTTAGTCGCCCCTCATTTGCACCATATCCATATTCATACGAAATCGATCATCTGGAATATTCAAAAGGAAACGTTACTTATTTATTTGCCATTAACATTAACACTAGATATTTATATTGCATTCCAGTGAAAGGGAAAACAGAACAGGAAACAAGAAGAGCTATACAATACTTACTAGATCATGAAAGAGTAGATAATATAAGGGGTGATGGTGATAAAGGATTTCAGGCAGCTATGGCTCATTATTTCCCACAAATTAATTTTTACTTTTCATCCTCTCCATATACGTTTCATAATAAAATAGTTGATGCGGTAATGAGAACTCTTAGAGATGCGTTAGGGGTTAACGGTCAGATATACTGGGATGGAAATCATGACTCCATCATACAGCAGTTAGTATATTATTACAATAATACATGGCATAGAACTATAAACATGAAACCGGTGGAAATGAAAAATGATATTTCAAAAGAATGGGAATATATTAGAAAGCAAATGGAAAAGTTAAATGATGTTAAACGTGAACAAATTCGGGGCTCATGAATTTTAAACAAGGAAATAAAGTTTTAATTCATCTCGATTATGGAAAAACTGATAAATCAATGACAAAAAGAAGACGAAGATTTGACACAATAGCTGAATTTGTTAGATATATTAACGGCAATGCATTAGTTGAAGTTGACAATAAATTAATAGAAATTCCGATTTATTTTATTACTCCATTATATTTAAATAATATTTAATTTTTTTTATTTCGTAAGAAATGAGTGACAACAAAGCAGTCAAGAGTCCAGACAATGAATATAAAAAGAAACTAAACAGAATTAAATCAAAAATATGCTATTACAAAAAGAAGTCGCAATGCGGTGGGGTTGAAAACGATAAAGAAATAATCGAAAAATTAGAAACTTACCGTTCAATCATTAAACTGAGTGAAGCAAAAATAAAAGAATTTAATAGAATAAATAAATTGGTTGGAAGAGATGAATTTAATAAAGATGAATTTTTAAACTCTATCCAAATTTAATTTTTATTCCTCTTCGACAACATCTCTCTTTCCATCATTACTGCATAACCACATTTTCTCAATTTTAGTGGTTTGTTATTTTTAACATGTTCTTGCATCATTTTTATCATTTCCTCCCTTGTTATGATTCGTGGTAAATTTTGAGCTTGTGGGGTATTCATTTATGATAAAAATAAAAATTTAAATTATGCCGTTCTAAAGTTTGAGACAACATGACATTTTGACAACATCATGGTTATTCAATAATTAATTATTTTTGAAGAACTGAAGGGGTCACCAGGTCACCAGGTCACCAGGTCATTTCACTTCTCTGAAAAAATGAGACAACATGACATTTTGACAACATCATGGGTTATTCAATAATTAATTATTTTTGAAGAACTGAAGGGGTCACCAGGTCACCAGGTCACCAGGTCATTTCACTTCTCTGAAAAAATGAGACAACATGACATTTTGACAACATCATGGGTTATTCAATAATTAATTATTTTTGAAGAACTGAAGGGGTCACCAGGTCACCAGGTCACCAGGTCATTTCACTTCTCTGAAAAAATGAGACAACATGACATTTTGACAACATCATGGGTTATTCAATAATTAATTATTTTTGAAGAACTGAAGGGGTCACCAGGTCACCAGGTCACCAGGTCATTTCACTTCTCTGAAAAAATGAGACAACATGACATTTTGACAACATCACAGGATTAATGCAAAAATAAATTCAAATCATACTTTATAAAGCTTCATTCACAGGTATTTCATCGTCAGTAAATGATTCCTCATTATCGTTTGGTTCAATTTGTTTATATAATCCTTTCATTTCTTCTTTCAAAACATAATACCATGTTTGTTTACCATCTATTTTTCTTTGTTTCCTTTCACATTTATCCTTAATGCTCATTTGAAAGTTTTTGTCTTTCATGTCTGATGGTTTGCAGAATAGAGCATTTTTACACGTCATACCTGCACATAATTCATCATAATGTGTATTTATCCATTCATCTAAAGGATTTGTTGATAACTCGATTAAATCTTGTTTGGCTTCAGTCATCGGAATGATTCGTACATTAAATGATGAAAGGTCATATTGCATAAAATATGTTAAAAGGTTATCATAAAATTCCTTTGTGCATGAATCCATTAAATTCTTGAAGTAATCAAATTGACCCTTGAATTTACCATTAACTCTTAAAACTACGTATCTTCTGTCTCCAACTTCAATTTTGACAGGGTAAACGTTATTAGTTACGAAAATGAAGTTTGCAACATTCTGAGCAGTTCTTCTGGGTTGATTCTTTTCATTAATTCTAATCTCATTATCCGTTATAATTGATTTCAAAGCGTTGAAGTTTGCGAGTCTGTCTTCACCTACATTCTTGAGTTCATTAAGTACAAGAAACATTTTATTCTCAACTACTGAGTTGAAATTACCCGTTAGCTCACTTATTTCAGTAATATTTTTACATGAATAACCAGCGAGAAGTTCAGAAATAATATCTGTAAATCTGTTTTTACCTGTTCCCTGAAGTCCTTTCAAAATAATTGCTGTTTCATTCTTGATTCCAGGATGTTGAATCATTGATGCAATCCAGCCGAGAAGGTATTTATACACTTCATCGTTATTATCACAAATGGCTTCTTTAATGAAATTCATAAACATCTCAATTTTTGAAGTAATCAGGCTTTTTTCAAGAATGTTGTATTTATAACCCTGAACGTTGAGAAAACATCTGGAGAATCAGATTTAAAGCAAACACCCTTAACGGTTAATGAAGACAATTGATTTAGTAGTACATCCCATGCTGTTATGGTTTTACCTTCTTCTTTAAATAATTTAATCATTTTGAGTGACTCTTTCATGTTTGACTGAAGAACGAATGATATTTGATTCATTTTGTCGTGTATGTTGTAATCTTTCTGAATGAAATATTTGTTTCCACAATCTACAAAACGAATTACACGTGATAAATCCTCAATTACTTCAGAAACTGTTTTTATACTGATGATTTTCAGCCTTGCGTCTAATATCTGTTATCAAAAACGAGTCATCAAGTTTGATATCAAATGTTATTTTTGGCTTACGTAATAAAGGTAAAACATATTCATCATAATATTCCTTTTGATAAAGTTTTAGAATCTTCACCAAAACAAATGGAGAAGTCATTAAATGTGCATATCTACTACGTGCTTTTTCAAAATTACTTTTTGCATTTTCAGTTAAATTGCAGAAGTTTAAAACGTTATCGTATGCTTCATTAATCAAATGATTAGGTAACGAATTAATAGCTTGAAACAGTGTGAATAATGTTATTTCTTTTTCTAAATTCATGTTTCCACCATCATTATGTACTTCAAAATCACAGATGCCATCAACTATGCTCTGAGCTAGTTTTATCGTCAATGTTTACATCTTTGTTTTCAATTCATTATACTCTTATATTTCTTCCGCCTTCTGTTCAACTCTTACCTTAATATTCAAATCATTTAATATATCATTCACTGTTCTAGTTAATGTCGAATCATAACTTCCACGAATGAATGAGTATGTATTGATTGGTTCTGATGCATTCTTGCGAACTCTTGATTCAGCCATAACCACTAATGAACGCTTTGAATCATCAATAGAAGTCATTATGTCAATATCATAATCATTGCAGGAATAACATTTAATCATTCTGTTCGAAACTGCATAGAAGAAATTAGTGTTGCAATAAATGTGAAGACCTCCTGATGCGGTTTTAACGATAACATCTTTATCCGAAAGTTTTGATAAAATGTCTTTTCTAACTGTTTCTTTAAGTTCATCATTGTATGATTTATTGATATCAACATCTATAATCGTTAAATTTGAAATTTTATTTACTAATAAAGCTGTACCAGTTTTCCTTCCTCTTCCTCCATCATGTTTGAGGTAGTTATGTAAATCAATCTTGTTTTCACCAATTCTTTCGTTGAGGGTTTTAGTTTCTGCCACAACTAATTCCGCAACTAATGAATCAATAACTTTTTCATCAGAAACGATAAAGTTGCTGTTGTTGTTTGTTGCTGTCATTTATATAGGAATAAAAAAATAAAAATAATTTTAAAACTAACTTTATTTTTGGACTGCATCAAATTTTCTGTGATGTTGTCAAAATGTCATGTTGTCTCATTTTTTCAGAGAAGTGAAATGACCTGGTGACCTGGTGACCTGGTGACCCCTTCAGTTCTTCAAAAATAATTAATTATTGAATAACCCATGATGTTGTCAAAATGTCATGTTGTCTCATTTTTTCAGAGAAGTGAAATGACCTGGTGACCTGGTGACCCCTTCAGTTCTTCAAAAATAATTAATTATTGAATAACCCATGATGTTGTCAAAATGTCATGTTGTCTCATTTTTTCAGAGAAGTGAAATGACCTGGTGACCTGGTGACCTGGTGACCCCTTCAGTTCTTCAAAAATAATTAATTATTGAATAACCCATGATGTTGTCAAAATGTCATGTTGTCTCATTTTTTCAGAGAAGTGAAATGACCTGGTGACCTGGTGACCTGGTGACCCCTTCAGTTCTTCAAAAATAATTAATTATTGAATAACCCATGATGTTGTCAAAATGTCATGTTGTCTCATTTTTTCAGAGAAGTGAAATGACCTGGTGACCTGGTGACCCCTTCAGTTCTTCAAAAAGAATTAATTATTGAATAACCCATGATGTTGTCAAAATGTCATGTTGTCTCATTTTTTCAGAGAAGTGAAATGACCTGGTGACCTGGTGACCTGGTGACCCCTTCAGTTCTTCAAAAATAATTAATTATTGAATAACCTAAATCATTTACTCACAATATTTTTGTACAAAACGACCCCAAGCTTTTAACTTCTTTTCTGTAGTTCATCCATTACTTCATTACCTAATTAATTACAGACATAAAATATATTTAGTTCATTCGGTAAGCCTAAACCCTTTGGGTTAAGTGTGTTCATTGAACTCTATACCATGCGAATACAGTCATAAATGGTGGCATGTATTCTTTACTTTGTCCCGTTGTTTGTGTATATCCTGAAACGAAATGTGTATGGTTTCCTTCTCCCTGAGTGTCACTCCAGTAACAATTTATGGCAAACTTAACGTCGTCTTTAACATCATATCCTTTACCTTTTGTCATTCCTGACCAATCCCAATATCTATGCTTATGCCAACCTGCTTGAGATGTGCTTAAATCTATGTAGTGACTATGTGCAGGTAAATTTTCACCTGAAATCGTTTTACTTTCCCCTGTTTCCTTTGAAGAGTTTGCACAATACAAAAACCTGTCAACTATTTGTTCCCATGCACCAACACCAAACATTACTTGAGGACCTCTTGCATCCATAGATGTATAAATAGAACCTACTGGGTTCATTAAATCAAACATATGAGATATTATAGGATTGTCTCTTTTGAACTTAAAATATAGTGTAACTATTTCAGGTTTCTTCTGGTTTGTGTCAGAATATTTTTTATAATATAATCTTATGTTTTCAGGGTAGGTAAAATCTTGACTATAATATTTATTTCTGTCATCTGTATAATAATATACTATTCTCGTTTTTTCTATTGCATTATATCTTTTATATCTATAATAATCTAAATATAATGTTAACTTTTGTTCATCTACATGTGGTGTTCTGACATCATCTCCATAGTCATAATAATATGGTGCTGGAGCTGGGTCAGGCAATGTCATATCTGCCATTTCATAAACTCTTAAATATTTCTTTTGTTCGTCTCCATATAAGTTTAAGTAGCAGTTGTTGTCTAATGGAACTTTAACTTGTGTGCCATCATTCTTTTTATAACTTACATACATTTCATTGTTATTTTTCGGAATGAGTTTCCACGTATACCATTTTTTAAGGAGTGTACAAACTGCCATCTAAAATATTTATTTTTCTTCATTGACAGAAAAGTCGCCAACAATAGTTTCAATATTTTTTGTTCCTATCAAACTTTGGTATATTTCGTTAACATATGTTTTTATCTGCTTTCTTCCTAACTCATCATTAACATATGTTTTATCCGCTTTAAGGTCTAAACATCCTGAAACCCATCCTGTATCAGCTTTAGTTTTTAAAATCTTTGATGTCCATTCATGATACCATTCAACATTTCTTTAATTTCATTATCTTTTTCATCCACATATTCCTTATCTTGCCTTCTTCCCTAACTCATCGTTAACATATGTTTTATCCGCTTTAAGGTCTAACATCCTGAAACCCATCCTGTATCAGCTTTAGTTTTTAAAATCTTTGAGTCCATTCATGATACCATTCAACCATTTCTTTAATTTCATTATCTTTTTCATCCACATATTCCTTATCTGTCCTCTTCTTTAACTCACCTATCCACATATTCCTTATCTGCTTTCTCCATTATGTCATTTAGGAAACCTTTTATGAATTCCTCATTTAAATTAAATCTTCCAATCTTCAAAACTTTAGAAATGCATTTAATGCGTAATATCTCTGTTCTTCTGGTGGAATTGATGTTATATCATCCGTTATTTCCTTTAATTTTTGAATTCATAAATAAAATTTCTTTTATATTTGATTATCACTGCACCACCTTTGCAAACGAATTCGAAATGTTCATTTTTCAATACTATCTCCAAATCTCCATATTTCAACCTTTGCGTTTGTTCTGCCGTCTTTGAATTATATGCATATATGGCGTATGTAATGGTCTGAGGGACCTGGTGCTTTGTGCCTTAAGTTGTTGTGGTTGCTGTTGTTTAATCATTTATTATGATTTAAAAATAAATATTTAATCTGTTATCTCATCAGCTATTTTTTTCTATTTGAAATTGCCATAATATTTCATTCATGAATTCTAAATCACAATCAAATAGGTCAGTTACTCTAAATTTAATATTTGATAAATCTTTTGAATGAAGAATAAATGAATTCCCAGATAATTGAAACGGATATGATAAAGAAAATATGTTTAAGTTGATGGATAAAATGTTTTGTATTTGATGGTAAGAGTTAGGGTCTAATGTTTGATGTGAAAATCTCATTGGGGTATTAACTTTATCACATTTGATTAAAATGAAATTGGAACCAGTGTCAGAATACAAAACATCCCCAACATCTTTTTCAAAATTTAATATCCCCAACAATGAACGAAGATGAGGAGTACAAAATTTAATTTTCAGCGGAAATTTAATAAGGTTATTTATTTCATCAAGTTCAAAAAGTTTATCAGGTTTTGATTTAAAATTTTCTTCATACCATACGATAAATGATTCATTTAAATAACTTAAAATCATGTTAATATCCCATTTCGCTATCACATTATTTATATACATATCATACGTTTTTTCATGGTCATCTTTAATAAATGATATATAATCTGAAGGGTCTAAAAGAATGGGATTAAATTTA